TGTTTTCAAAACGTGTCCCAGGCATCAGGGTGAATTAGAAGAGCCAAAGGCAGGCAGGTAGGGCATTGAGCTGTTCATATGTCAGGCTCTTCTGAGATGGATCACAGATTCTGTACTGCCCCTCCTCTGAGCTGCCCTGCCCTCAAAGCCCACACACCCGTGTGGAAATAAACTGGGAAACCATGGCTGTATTGGTCTCAAAATATCTGTGATAAAGTCGATGAAGATACAGTTTGAGGTCTTGTGGTTTCTGCAGGGTGGGCCAAGTCTAGAAGGCCTTGCGTGGCTCAGCAGGACTCCAGCCTAACCCTCTCTTCTCTCTCCATTTGAAGTTAAATGAACTGGTGGTGGGGGACACCAGCGGAAAGCTGTCAGTGTATAAGAATGATGACAGCCGGCCATGGCTCACCTGCTCCTGCCAGGGAATGGTCAGTATTCAACCCCGGGTCCCTCCTGTCGAGGCACTGTCGAAGCTGGGGGCCCCCACCGAGCTCCCCAGCGTGTGCTCAGCGTGTGCTCTTGGTTCGGGCTCATCTGAGTCGGCGGGGGAAGTCCCCAGACAGAGCTCTCCCAGCTGTCCCACATGGGCACACACGCACACAGCTGGGCTGGTTTTCATTCTGTGTGATGGAATGACTCCCTTAGTAATTCACTGGTCTGCATAGGTTGCCTGATGGTATGAAGTACAGTAGAAAATGGTGGCGGTCATTTGATTATGTCTGGAAACGGTAGTCTGGCTCCCTTGATACATGTAGTTTTTGTTTTGTTTAAGCCCAAGTTGTCTTCACTGCTTTAGGTCCACGTACCGCTATCTGGTACACGGGACCCAGAGCACAGCAACAGGATTAGCACAGCCTCTTGGCGCGGGCCATGTGCACGCGCTTTCAGCCAATGATGGAGTTGCAAGGAAGTCAGGGAGCACTGGGGTCCCTTGGCATGTCCCCCAAGTTCCTCTCTCTTCTCTTGCAGCTCACTTGCGTCGGGGTTGGGGACGTATGTAATAAAGGAAAGGTAAGAAGCCCAGGGGCCCCCAGGCTTCCCTCGGCCCACCCCCGATTCCCGTGCTCTGACCACCAGCCCCCTCCTCTGCCTCATCTCATGCAGAACCTGGTGGTGGCAGTGAGTGCCGAGGGCTGGTTTCACTTGTGTGACCTGACGCCTGCCAAGTCCCTGGATGGTTCTGGGCACCACGAGACCCTTGGTGGGGAGGAGCAGCGCCCAGTCTTCAAGCAGCACATCCCTGCTAACACCAAGGTCATGCTGATCAGCGACATCGGTGAGCATGGCTGTGTTTGCAGGCAGCGGGGGAGTAGGAGTTGGGGCAGCAGAGCAGAGGTCAAGGGAGCTGGGGGGTCGTCAGTATTCGTCTTGGCGGTTGTTATGTGTTTAACGCCGAGTTACTGCGCTCCTGTCATAAACCAGGCATCATCCTGGGCACTGGGGTTGCAGTAGTGAATAAAACAGACAAAGATCATGGCCCTCTTGGACGTTTACAAGGTAGGGACAAAAAATAAGCAATAGAAATGGGGTAAGAAAATTAAATAGTACACTCGAAGGTATATAGGAAATACATCAGGAAAGGGGCTGGAGGGTGTTGAGGGAGAGGAGTTGTCAGGGAAGTCCCTGCTGGGAGGGGTCATCTGAGCAGCAGGTCAGGGTTGAGGGGAGTGAGCCCTCAAGGTCAAGGTCAAGGATGCGGGGCAGGTACTTGGGCCAGAGGCCGTCTGGAGGGTGCTGGTAGGGATACGGGTGCATCAAGGCTCTGGAGACGTGTACCCGGGGAAGAGATGACAGGCTCCACGAGGCAGTTACCTGGTTCTGGACGTGAGGGAGGGCAGAGGAGCGGGTCCCAGGCTCCAGGGGGTGGTGGAGGCTCAGCAGGTGGGCCCGAGGTTGAACCTGATAAAAAACGCTGGTGCTGGAGGGGTGGGGAGGGCATGCTGGCAGGACTCGGCTGACGAAGGCAGACTTGGCTCCAAACCCGCCATGTTTTCCGGATGTGCAGATGGCGATGGCCGTTGCGAGCTGGTGGTGGGCTACACAGACCGCGTGGTCCGGGCTTTCCGCTGGGAAGACCTGGGCGACAGCACCGAGCACCCGGCGGGGCAGCTGGTGTTGCTCAAGAAGTGGATGCTGGAGGGTCAGGTGAGCAGCTGAGGCCGGGACCGCAACCCAGGGCTGGGGAGGAGCTCCCTCCTCCAGGGGACTTGGGGCCGAGGCATGGGCGGGAAGAAGGGAAAATTGCCCTGTGACCGAGACCCAGAGGAGGTCACTTCCATTGAGAGTCTTAGGGGAGACGGCGGGTAATGGGCAGACAGGAAGGGCCACTGTGCTGAGAGCCGAGGGTGTGAGGTGGGTGTGGTGTGTCGTGGCGGGTAGTCCCTGGGGATGCTGCACTTCCCCTGCTGCTGCCCTCGAAGGGGGACGTGAGGACGTGTCCCAGGGCCCCTACCCGCCTGCCCCGGCCTCTGCAGGCTCCCCCTTCTCTCCCAGCCCCCTGTAAGCCCCCATCCTCTGGTGCAGGTGGACAGTCTCTCAGTGACACCTGGGCCCCTGGGTGTTCCCGAACTGATGGTGTCTCAGCCAGGCTGTGCTTATGCGATTCTACTGTGTACCTGGAACAAGGACCCAGGGGCCCCTCCCACCTCTGAGGGACCCATGGAGGGCACTCGGTAAGGGGTATGTGGGTCTGTGGACAGTGGGGTCCCTGGCACTGAGGTGGGTGCCCAGGGCCATGGATGGATCTGCAATTGGCAGAGCTGCGTTGGCCAGGTCCCCGCACCGGCAGCTGAGCCCCATTAAGAAAGATTGTTTTGGGGCCAGGGAGTCCCTGCCATGAGTTGTAGCAACTGAGGAGGTTCTGGGGTTCCAGCCTGGCAGCTCCGCGCTCTCTCCAGCTCTCTCGACATGTCCCCTGGGCCAGGCCAGCTGGCCTGTCAAGTCTCCAAGCTGCTTCACACCCTGGAAGCTTGTACAGAGATGAGCCCAAGGGGTTGGGAGAACCAGGCTTTCTTGGGCTCCCACTTAGCACCACCTCCCCCCCACCCCCTTCCCCACAGGGAGACCCCGGCTGCCCGGGACGTTGTGTTGCATCAGACCTCCGGCCGCATCCACAACAAGAACGTCTCCACTCACCTCATCGGCAACATCAAGCGAGGTGGGGGAGGGCCGTGCAGGGTGGGTGATCATGTTCCCGGGCTTCTGTGCAGAGATGGGGTCCCCAGCCCGGCCTGCCTCTCCCCGCAGGCACCCTGAAGCTCATGGAGGAGGCGGACAGGCTGCTGTGGTCGGTGCAGGTGGACCACCAGCTCTTCGCCCTCGAGAAACTGGATGTCACGGTGAGCGGGACCTGGGGGAGGGGGAGAGCCTCCTCCTCCTCGGGCACTTTCAGTGGGGCCGCTCTCCCTCCACAGCCAAGTCTGCCCCCCTCCTAGGGCTCCCTGGAGAGGCCCGACTTCCCCCCGAAGTGAGCAGCACCCCCGCAGGAGGCCTCTTTCAGAGGCTCCCTGCTCCTCCTACATCCGCTGTCTGGCCTTTCTCAGGGCAACGGGCACGAGGAGGTGGTCGCCTGCGCCTGGGATGGCCAGACGTACATCATCGACCACAACCGCACCGTTGTCCGCTTCCAGGTGGATGAGAACATCCGCGCCTTCTGTGCAGGTGGGACCTCTCCCCGTGCCCAGCACACCTGTCCCCTCACTCCAGTGACCTGGGGAGAGGCGTCGTCACCCGAGAGCAGCTGCCCGTGTTCCCTGGGGCTGCTGCTGAGACAGGAACTCGGCAAACACCCCCTGGGATGCTGTCCTGCCTGGGCGTCACTTGGGGCCTGGAAAGGACCAGATATCTTACTGTTTTACTTGCTTTGCTGAGTTCCCGACAGTAGAAACAGAAAGGGGCCTTCAGTGCTCTGCTCGGGGCCTGTGGGCAGCTGGAAACTGCTGACACAAACACCGTGGGGCCTGAGCCTCCCAACCTTGTCTCCCCGTCCCTGACCCCCCAGGCCTGTATGCCTGCAAAGACAGCCGCAACAGCCCCTGCCTCGTGTATGTCACGTTCAACCAGAAGATCTACGTATACTGGGAGGTGCAGTTGGAGCGGATGGAGTCCACCAACCTACTCAAAGTGCTAGAGGCCCAGCCGGAGTTCCGGGAGCTGCTGGGAGAGCTGGGCGTGGGTGAGCCCCGGGATTGGGGGTGCTGCTGGGAGAGCTGGGTGTGGGTGAGCCCTGGGGCCCATGGCTGCGGGCACCCAGTGGCACAGGTTCCAGCAGACCCACCAGCCTCCGTCTCGCCCTCAGATCCCGATGAGCTGCCCGCCGCCCGTGCCCTGCTTCACCAAACCCTCTACCATCCAGACCAGCCTCCATACTGTGCCCCTGCGGGCCCCCAGGACCCCACCTAGCTGGACCGGCTTCCTGGCAGAGCAAGGAGCCTTCTGAACCTCCCCCCCCGCCCCACCCCCCCATCCATGTTAACTGTGCTCCAAGCACTTATATCAGCCTGCAGTTGGACACGATCACCTGACACAAGCCTCTTTTATAATAAAGTGTTGTTATAAAAGTGTTAGAATAAAGTGGGTATCTCATGTGATTTACTAAATACCGTACTGAAGTGAGAAACAATGGTGACTGTGGGTACAGAATGGTTGTAAGTATGTTCATGCTCATGATTTTAAAGTCTGATGTGGGTTTTTGATCCCAACTACAATCAGAATGGTACCTGGTGCTCTTTATATCCCTTCTGCTGTGGATTCCTGTGCTCCGAGTCAGTGGTTTTCACATTGCAGGTTGCATGTCCATGCACACGTGTGTGCTGAGGGCAACATAGAATATCCCTACCGTGTGTGAGCTGTGTTCAGAGGAACTAGAAAACCTGTACTCAGTTACACTGACCCCAGGCAGAAGGTCACCCCGGGGGAAGGTCCATGCTCATATTTCCTTCTGTGTGGGAGTAAGGGCAGGGCAATCATGTAGTGTCCTAGAAGCAGAGAAGGACACCAGCTTAGAGAAACAGGTGTTTATTCCAACAAAGTCGCTGCTGAGCTGAGGGCATTCTTGGGCCTGGGGTCTGCAATGGCAGAAGCAACAGGTGGAAGGGAGAGCAACAGGGTGAGACCCAGGAGCGCAGGGATCATGGAGGGTGACAGCAGGGGCCACCACACTCCTGCACCTGTGCCAGGGACATAGCTGAGGAAGGTATGCCCAGGGGGCACGGCCTTTCCTGGGCCTGCTCTGGTCTAACTTAGTGCGGGCTCCAGGTTTTGTTTCCAACCCAAGGGGCATAGTCCCCTGGTCAGGTTACCTATACCACTGTTTAACTCTTCCCCCAAATTTGAGACTCAGACCTGCCAGAAGGACACCAGGCGCCTGGACTTTAAGGTTTGGGATCCTCTGTTCACAGTGAAGGTGGCAGAGCCTCCTTGGGTCTTTACTGGACTCAGGGCTGGGGTGGGGTGAGGGTTGGGAAGAGCTACTGGTGCCAGAGAAGATGAGCTCAAGCTCAGGAGGCCAGAGGTGAGGGGCGGGAAGAAGGTTGAATGAGGTGGATAGTTCTGGAAGTAAGGAATACTGGCCAGGTAAAGTCGGTGCTGACAATCCCACCCTCCTGTCTGGCTTGGGGGGCAGTTCTCCACATGCCCCCCACCCAAAGTTCAGGGGCCCAGCAGGTGAGGAAGCAGGTGGAGGGCAAGTGTTTGGAGTAAGTCGTAGAGGTATATCCAGGGTGTGCACGGGGCAATCAAAACAGTAACCGGCTTCAGTTGTTTGTAGCCCCAGAAAAGGCAACTGATGAAAGAGCCCACAGCCTCGTGGACTGGGCGCTTCTCTCCCGACAACGTCCCCGTCATGATGACGGTTTCTCTCTTGCTCAGCCGAGCACAAAGTCAGAAACGTGGGCCAGCAGGGCCAGGGCCCAGGGCCGGTAAGGGGGCAGGCTAGTTGTGAGGTGAGCAATGTGGAGTCAAGGCCTCGGGGGTGTTCAGGGTGGACAGGGCAGGCAGGGATAGGCAGCAGTTTGCAGCCCCGAACTCGGGGCACCCTGGCCGCGCCAGGGCCCAGCCTGGAGCCCCGCTTTGCTGATGTCCTTTTCTGCAGTCCTGATGTGGCTCTGTTCTTGGGAGGGTATAAGGGAGGACAGGGAAACCAGAACCCTGAGGTCTTGGGCCCTTTCTAGGAAACGTTTTTCTTGGGGGGCAGGGCAGGTTCTGAGAAGCAGAGGAGCGTGGCCGCCAGCCAGGGAGACGGGATGGCGGGGTCAGGGTGGTGACAGGCGGGAGAGTCCCCAGCTACCCAGCTCTAGTCATGCCCCATCCCCCAGGGCTTCGCCTCCTGAGTCAGGGAGTCTTCCCCTGGGGACCATCCGGGGCTACCATCGTCACTGGCCGGGCTCTTGGTACAAAGGCAGGAAGGGCAACTCTGAGAACGGGGCTTTCAGCCGCAGCACGTGATGCTCCAGGTCGATGCAGCACTGTGGGTGGGGGCAGTGAGCTCACCTGGGCAGGTGACCCCCTTCCTTCCCACTGCGCCCTACTCCTTGCGTCTCCCCATTTTCATGCACCCAGACTGCTGTCGAGAAGGGACCAAGTTCTCCATGTTCTTCAGTTGTAGGCAGATAAGGAACCTCTAAGGAATTGAGGGTAAAATTCCACGTCCCCAACTCCCTTCTTATGTGATGGAGCCTGGCCCACGCACCCGCACCCATACCCCCTACCTCTTTTTCCCGGGCCCCGGTTCAGGCCAGGGTGTGGTACCAGTGTGAGCATCGCCTTACCTGGAGAGAGAGCAGGGTCTGCAGGCCAAGGCAGAGTTCAGGACTCTCCACATCTGCGGGAACCATTTGAGGACATTGCTGTCCTCCTGTCAGCTCTTGCCCTTCTCTGCCCACCCCCGCCTAAGCCCGAGAACCTGGGGGATAATGGGAGCATCTTGGGGGCTGGGGTGCCTCATCTGTGTTGGCCGGAGCTGAGAGGCTCTGCCTTTGCCCCACCCAGGAGGGAGAGATAGAATTGCTGAGACGGACGCTGGGCTCTGACGGAGCGAGGACTTACCTACCACCTGAGCCGAGCACTCCACGGTCTCCTGGCCCAGCTGTAGCTCCAGCTGCTCCACCAGGGCTGGGCGCCCCGGGTGCAGGTCCCCACCTGGGGCTTTTAGGACCCTCTTCCCTAACCTGCAGTTGGGAAGCAAGGGTTATGGCCACCACGGCCCCCCACCCCCACACCATTAATGTCCCTCCCACCACATTTTGGGTTTGCAGCCCATCCCTGGCCCCACATAGGGTCTAAATCCAGTCTTATCAGCCAGAGCCCCCACCAACTCTTTAAAAAAAAAAAAGAAGAAAACAGTTTTATTGGGACTTCCCTGGTAGTCCTGTGGTTAAGACTCCGAGCTTCCATGACAGGGAGCTCAGGTTTGATCAGGGTACTAAAATCCCACATGCTGCATACAGTGGCCAGAAATAAAATAATAATAAAATTAGTAGACGTTGATACACATTTTAAAAAAATCAATAAAATAATTGATTTATTTATTGCTTTATTGAGATATAGTTCATATATATAGTGAAAGTCACTTTTTTGGGTGACCAAGCCATGCAGCTTGTGGGATGTCAGTTCCTCAACTAGGGATTGAACCTGGGTCACAGCAGTGAAAGCCCAGGGTCCTAACCCCTAGACCACCAGGGAACTGCTGAAGGTCACCCTTTTAAAGTAGACAGCAGAGTTCTGCAACCATCACTACCTAATTTCAGAATATTTCCATCACCCCGAAAAGAAGCCCCTCCCCCACTGGTTTACACACACACACACACACACACACACACACACACACACACCGCCTTACCCGAGGCGGCTGAGGCATCCCGCAGAGATCTGATTGTACTGGGTGCCCGTGTCCACCGCCACCTGAAGCTCCTGGTCCCGGCACTGAGAAAAGGGGAGGGTCTCCGTGAGTCCCTGGGGGCGGGGGATGGGGGGGGCTCAGGCGCAAGGGGGAATGGGCTGGGACTGACTCTGTCATCTTTCCCAGCCCCTGATAAGTCCCTTTCAGAAATGAGTGAAGGGAGTAAACTGAGTCTTTAAGAGTGATTATTCTGAGAGTCATACAGCTGAGACAGAAGTGGATCAGATCAAGAGTTGTGAGTGGTGAGCGCATACGTTTGGGGAGAATGCCATCAGAGGTGGAGGAACCGAGTGGAAGTCCTTTTGCTGAGAGGAGAGCCGAGCGCCTCCTGTTAGAGGGATCTGGGGTGTGAGTGAGGAGGGGTGGAGGTGGGGAGCGCGGCACCAATTAGGAAACGAGACGCAGGTACCAGACTCGCCACTGCAGGTGAAGAAGGATGAGGTCGCTTTCTTTTGAGTTTGCACTTGATACCGCAAAACAAGTCATTTCCTCCTTGTACGTGTTTGCTGAGGTCTGCTATGCGTGGCAGGTGGGAGCAGGGACGGGAGGCTGCTCCCCCCGCGGCAGTGGGGGGTAGAAGGTCACCCGTTGGGGGAGAGAGTGTCAAGCTCTGTGGGTTGAGGGGCTAGAGCCTTAGATGTTGAGCCAGATGAAAGGCCCTTCCATTGGGAAAGTTAGGGGAGCGTTCCTGGAGGAGGTGACAGCTGGGGCTGGAAGGGCATGGGATGACACCAGCGAGCAGGCAGAGGAGGTCCCAGCAGAGACGGGCAGGAGGGAGCGGGCCTGTGTCAGGGAGGGCTCAGAGATGACCAGGCTGTGACCTGGAGCGTGAGCTTTCCCAGGAGGGCTGCGTTACCCACTCGTGTGCGCCATTCGTGTGCAGAGCACACTCAGGTTTAAAGAGGATGCTTGGCTCACGGGAAAGGAGTCCTGTGGACCTCAGCAGACGGGGAGGCAGGGAGCAAAGAAGGTGGAGGACCCCAGTTCTAGGCCTAGGCTCGGGGAGGAGTGCCTTGGCTCCCCACCCCTCCTCACCTCCAGGGCAGAAGGGAGGGTGGGTGAGGGCAGCTGGGCCCAGAAGAGGGTCTCACCTTGCAATTGACCAGAAGCGCTGGCTTCTCGGGCTTGCTGGTCATCGTCCTGCTCTCCTGGCTGTGAATCGGGGCCTGCGCCCGGGGAGGCTCCCCCTGAGGCTGGCCCGGGCTCCCCTCCACCACCAGGCGTCTCTGGATCACGCTGTGTGGCTGCTGCTCCATCACAAAATGTGGAGATGCTGAACCCCGGGGCCCGGTCTGCTTGGTCCCCGAGCTCACAAGTCCCAGGCTCTCCTGCCCAGCCCCACCCCCGGCCCAAGTCTTCAGAGAGTAAGAAGGGGCAGAAGCTTCCCCAAGGGTCCCAGCAGTGAGATCATGATAGTAGAGCAAGCCCCAGCATCAAATCACACTGGTTTCCAGGGCCCCAATGGATAGCTCAGTGATGGAGAGATGGGGGGAGGGGGGGTCCATCCTGAGTTAGACATGACCTTGCAGGCACTGGTAGGATGCTGGGAGGCAGGTGGCAATTCTATCTCCTATCTACAACACATATTTGGGGACATCTTTTCTTTTTTCCTTCCTCTGACCTCATTCTTCCATGAGATGCAGATCCCAGGGTTGACAGTGTGATGAAAAGAAGTCAAAGAAACAAGAACAAAAAAGAAAGGGAAGTCCCAATGTTCTTCACTAGGAAGCTGGGAGCCATCCTCCCGTCCTTCACCCACAGCCACTCCGCCCCGTCCAGCCACTTCTCGGTTCCACCAGTTTCGCCTCCTGTGTTTACAGCCCACCTTGCCTTCTTTTACTGATTCATTCAGCACAGCTCTCCCAAATCCCTGGGACGCCTCTGTTAGTCCGTAAGAACCTGCCTCTCAAATCCACCTGCTCAAAGCCAGGGAGTCTCTGAGACTATGCTACTCCAAGTGCCGTCCTCAAGTCAGCGGCTTTACTGTCACCCATCAGAAGCACAGAATCATGACCTACTGAATCAGAACCTTGTTTTAACAAGATGTGCAAATAAGCTATGTGAACCTTGTTTTAACAAGACGTGCAAATGACCCACAGGCACAGGAAAGTTTGAGAAGCGCAAAGCAACCCGTCAGACCAAACATGTCTCTCCCTTGCTTGAAATCCATCAGAGGGACCTCCCTGGTGGTCCAGTGGCTAAGACTCTGCGCTCCCAGTGCAGGAGACCAGGGTTCGATACTTGGTCAAGGAACTAGAGTCCACGTGCGACAGCTAATTGTCCATGTGCCACAATGAAGAGCTGGCACAATCAAATAAATAAATATTTTTAAAAAATATTAAAAAAGAAATCCATCAGAGCTTTCCTCTTCCCACTTTGCTTGCCTGGAGGTAACAGCCTGGTGAGCTGGCCACTGCCTCATCTCCCTCCGCTGCCATGCCTGGGCCAGGCTGTCCAGGCCTCTGCCCATGCTCATCCCTCCTCCTGAAAGTCCTCACCCTTCTCTAGGCCAGCCTGGCTCAACTCACTTGTTCAGAAACTGCTCTCTGGAGGGAGGCTTTGATTTTCAGTCTGGGGTTCTGAGAGCATAGTGTCATCCAGGCAGGGTTCACCTCCTCCAGGAAGCCCTCTCTGACCTCTTTGCATTCTTCCGTCCACACACCAGGCAGGGCAATGTTCCATCTCTCATCCCCCGCCCCCTCCCTGTGATGCCTCTCACTGCTGTTTTCTGCCCTTGAGGTCAGGTCTGTATCTCACTCCTCTTTATATCACAGGGCTGGGCTCGGCATACAGTAGGCACTCAATAAATGCCCACCGAAGAATGACTGTGTCCCTCCAGGCTCCACACATGATTCCTCACCTGCTCTCCTTCCATGGGAGCCTGGGACTGTTTTCCTACCCTAGTCTTAATGAGGCCCTTGAGGCTGCTCCTGCCGGCAGACTGCCAGCAGAAGGCCCAGCTCTGGGAAAGGGGGCGGTGAGCGCTGGGAGTGGCTGGGGAGGGCGGCCCGCCCACCTTTCCCACAAGGGGCGCAGGCTCTGTTCCGACTCCCATGCATCGTGCTCCAGAGTCACCCAGGGAGGGAGACAGGGTCCCCGTAACTGCTGTGTCTTCACTCCCCAAGCCACACAAGATAGCTGCTCCAGATTGATTTGAGGGTCCTGAGGGCAGAAGGCCTGATCTGCTATGCTGGAACAGCAGTGTTACTGTGCCAGGGCCGAACCGATGAAGGTGGGCTGATGAGAGCCGAGAACCTTCTTCCCTGCTCCCTTGGGGTCTCAGCTGTGCCCGCTGCTAGCAAGGCCGTTCTCTGAACTGAAATCTCAGTCTGCTCACTTTTCCCTTGAGTGGGGGTGCCGTTGGGCCGGCTTCCTGGAGGAAGAACAATTGGCTGGGAGGAAGTGGAGAGGGAGGGCTGGTTCAGGAAAAGAAGTGAGGGGCTGCGTCTGGGTCCAGGTTTCTGGGGAGAGGGGACAGCTGGAGTGGCCCAAGGTCCCCCAGAAATGGCCTCACATGCCTCCCTCCTCTCCATCCCCCTGCCTACGAGGTGAGAGAGGCGACAGGGTGCCCCCAGCCTTTCTACAGAAGCTCTCCTCTCGTCTGAGCCAGAGGCCAGAGCCATCTCGTCTTCTCTGGACCCGGTGAACCTCACTTTCTCTCCGGCTAAATGGAGGAGTAAGAGTAACTGGAGAAGGGACTTCCCTGGGAGTCCAGCACCTAAGACTCTGTGCTCCCAATGCAGGGGGGCATTCAGTCCCTGGTTGGGGACCTAGATCCCACCTACTGCACCTAAGAGTTTGCATGCCACAACTAAGACCCGGCGCAACCAAAAGAAACATTAAAAACAGAAGAGTAGCTGGAGGAATAACAGCCTTTAGATGATGCTCCCTATTTCTCAGGCACTCTGCTAAGCCCTTTACAGGTTTAGCTGATGTAATCCTGACATTCCCTATGAGCTACAACCTATTATTTTTATCTTCATGTAACAAATGAAGAAACCAAGGCTCAGAGACAGAAAGTAACTTGCCCAAGTTGCTAAGTGCTGGAGCCAGGATCTGAACCCAAGATTCTAGGCTCTGCAGAAGCCCACACTTTTAGCCCCTCCCTCTGTTGGAGGTGGGTGGTGCATGTATGAAGTTGTCCCCTAACTCACCCACCCCTTGGTGGGCACTCCCTGACCCGGTATCCTTGGCGGGGGGGCACAGCTGCTGCAGGGGGATGGAAGGAAAGGAGCCTGGAAGGACACATCAACTAGGAGGAGCTGGGGGGGTCCTGAGGAGCTGAGTACCCAGGCCAGAGCCGTGGGTGTTCTAGCAGGGGTGAGGGGGACGGGCAATGAATGTCCAGTCCCCGTGTGCCAGGTCCTGTGGTTTCAGGAGAGGAGCAAATCACAGCCTTGAACACACCGGTCCTCCAGGCCCAGCAATAAACTGCCCCTTGCAAGCCTCTGCTCTAACCAGCACTCTTCACCTCCCCTCCCCGGAGGGAAGCCTGGAGCTCTCTAGGGAAGCCGAGCAATAGATAGGGTCCCCCAGAGCCACCAACCCATGGCAACAACCCGGTGAGGAGCCGGGAATGGTCAAGGTGAACCCACAAGTCAGGGCTGCCTCCCCCTACCCTGGGGGCAAGCAGGTGTCTGGAGGCTTGGGGTCTGCACCCTCCCAGCAGAGCCAGAGAAGCAGGGGGTCCCAGCCGCCCCAGGGAGGGGAGGGGAGAGGGTGGCCTCACCCAGTCCTTGGAGGTGCCGAGCCTCTTGAGCCCGTCCAGGGGCAGCAGGTCGGCCGAGTCCTTGTGCAGGAACTGGGTGGCCTGTCTGAGCCGGCGCTGCTGGCTCAGCTGGGCTCGGCCCCGAAGCTCTGCCTCCCGGCCCCTGTCCCCGGCGTCGCCCTCCTCCCGCGGGGCCTCCGGCCTGATGCTCATGGCCCCCTTGGGGCGGGCCGGGGGCTCCTGAGTGGTCCTGCCCTCTGTGCTCCCTGCCTCCGCAGCCCCTGCCGCGTCCCGGCTGCGGCTCTCCTGACCGGAGGGTCGTCTCGGCGGGAAGAGGAGAGGAAATAAATAAATAACGTGCAGGAGCAGCCGCGTCAGACACCAATTTTCAGAGCTTGCAGTAGAGGGAGTGGGGCTCCGGCTGGAAAAACCCAGCCCAGGAGGAGGCGGGGGGCGGGGGGGGTGGCAGTTGGCAGGGCTGCAGCTGGCAGGTTCTGCAGCATCTCCAGCTCTGGGGTCCTGGCCGGAGTGGGCGGTGGAGGAGTGTGTGTGCGTGTGTGTGCGCGCGCGTGTGTGGCTGAGGGGGTGTATCTGTGCTGTAAACTGTCAGGGTATCCATGCCAGGTGGTTGGAAAGGCAACATGTGCCAGTGTGCGGGGGACTCTGGCAGGACAAATACCCCTGGGCATGTGTCTCCTGGGTTTCCCGGCCGTGCCCTCCACCTGGGGTTCTCTGCAGCCCCAGGGTGGGGTTCAGGCCAACACCTGGGGTGCAAGTTTGGAACAGCGAGGTCCAGCATCACATTTGTCTCAACAGGGAGCCTCTTGCCTTCTGGGTCTCAACCTTTTAGCATCCTTTGCTCCTTTACTCTGGGTCCTGTGTTCCAGGGTTGGCAAGAGCAACTCTGAATCTTCCTACAAGTAGGGCCCCAGCTTCCCCTTCCCCTTTGTGTGAGGCTCAATGAGTCTTGGCTCTTTTTTTTTTTTTTAAATTTTGGCTGTGTTGGGTCTTAGTTGTAGCATGCATGAACTTGGCTATGTCGTGTGGGATCTTTCATTGTGGTGCATGGACTCTCTAGTTATGGAGTGAGGCTTTCAGTAGTTGCAGCCAGCAGGCTTAGTTGCTCTGTGGCATGTGGGATCTTAGTTCCCCTACCAGGGATCAAATCCGCACCCCCCCACACACACATTGCAGGAGAGAGAGAGCATTGGTGCTCCATGGTGTCTGGCTCTTTGCCACCCAATGGACTGTAACCCGCCCTCCCCAGGCTCCTCTGTCCATGGGATTCTCCAGGTAAGAATACTAGAGTGGGTTGCCATTTCCTCCTCCAAGGGATCTTCCCGACGCAGGGATCAAACTCGAGTCTTCTGTACTGGCAGGTGGATTCTTTACTGATGTGCCACCTGGGAAGCCTTCTGCATTGCAAGGCAGATTCTTAACCACTGTACCACCAGGGAAGTCCCCTAGCTCTTTTTTAAACAGTTATAATTCAAACATACAGAAATTTATAAGGAATAAACAATACCCTTTACTCCCATCTCATTAAAAAAAAGAAAAAAAAACCTGCCACAAACATACATGAAGCTCCCTGGGTGCCCTTCCTCCCCAGATAACATTTGGTCTGGCATCTGGGGCTTCTCCTTCCTCTCTTCAAGCACATATGTATATGTGTATCCTAAGCAGTGTCATTTCATATTGCCTGACCCACTGTAGACATCCTTCTGCAATTTGTGTTTTTTTAAATTTTTTTTAGGCATGTGGGATCTTCACTCCCCCATTGGGATTGAACCCACACCCTTTGCATTGGTAGCTCGGAGTCTTAGACACTGGATGGCTGGGGAAGTCCCAATTTGCTCTTTCTTGCTCATTATTTTATTGGTGAGATTCACCTGTGGGCTATATGTAGCTCTAGTTAATTTGCTTTAATTACTGTATAGTATTTCTCTAGTGAATACATCACATTTAGGAAATTTAGGTTATTTTTCATTTTTACAAACAAAGATGCTGTGAACATTTCTTGCACCTGTCTCTTGGGGTAAGCATTCCTGTAAGCATTCCTAGGAGTGGGACTGCTGGGGCATCAGATATACATCTTGTCTCTTTCGCCATGATGCCAAATTACCCTCCAAAGTGTTTGTAGCAGCTGGCCCTCCATCAGTAGCAGACGGGGTTCCTTGGCTCCACTTCCTGGTCAGCACTTGGTATCAGACTTTTCCTTTTTAATTTATTTGGCTGCCCAGGTCTTAGTGGTGGCACTCAGGTTCTTTAGTTGTCATATGCGGGCTCTAGTTCCCTGACCAGGGATGGAACCTGCATCCCCTGCACTGGGAGCACAGAGTCTCAGCCACTGGACCCCCAGGGAAGTCCACTCTCAGACTTTGTAGAGCCCTGATGCATCTGCCATCAATTTTTTCTCTCCAGCCTTTTGTCCTCACCATCATCGGCCCTCCCTGGTCAAGGTTCTGCTGACTTGTGTTGGACACTCACAGGGTGAGTCTTGACCTGGGCCCTGCTCCCTGGGGCTCGATCCCATCCAGGCAACACAGAGGCACATGCCCATTCCGACCAGGCAGACATTCCCCTGCCCCACTGCGGACCACACCTCCTTGAGGCACTTTGCAACCACGACAATTATATTATGATCCCCATTTACAGGCGAGATGTTAGGAGTTCAATCGTGTTCCCCCCATATGTTAATGACCCAACCTCTGGGGAGTTTCTTAGGTGGTGCTAGTGGTGAAGAACTTGTCTGCCAATGCAGTAGATGTAAGAGACACAGGTTTGTTCCCTAGGTGGGGAAAATCCCTGGAGGAGGGCATGGCAATCCCTTCTAGTATTTTTGCCTGGAGAATCGCATGGACAGAGGAGCCTGGCAGTCTATGGTCCATAGGGTTGCAAAAAGTCAAACATGACTGAGCGATTTAACTCGCATGCACACACACAAACCCTAGGACCTCAGAATGTAACCTTATTTAGAGATAGGATCTTTACAGAGATAGTCAAGTTAAGATGAGGTCATCAGGGTGGCCCGAACCCAGTATGTCTGTGTCCTTCTTTTTTTAAATTTATTTGTTTTTAATTGTAATACTCGCTTTACAATATTGTGTTGGTTTCTGCCATGCATCAACATGAACCAGCCACAGGTGTTCATGAACCGGCCATAAGTATACATATGTCCCTCCCCTATTGAACCTCCCTCCCTCCCCTCTAGCTTGTCATGAGGCACCTGACTTGAGCTCCCTGTATCATCAGCAAAGTCCCACTGGCTATCTATTTTACACACGGTAGTGTATATGTTTCCATGCTACTCACTCAATTCATCCCACCCTCTCCTTCCCCCACTGTGTCCACAAGTCTGTTCTCTATGTCTGTCTCTATTCCTGCCCTGCAAATAGCTTATCAGTACCATTTTTCTAAATCCCACACATATGCATATATATGATACTCGTTTTTCTGTTTCTGACTCTATTCACTCTGTATATCAGGTTCTAGGTTCATCCACATCACTACGACTAACTCAAATCCATTCCTTTTCATGGCTGAGTAATATTCCATTGTGTATATGGGCTGTGTCCTTCTTTAGTCAGTCAGTTCAGTTGCTCTGTCGTGTCAGACTCTTTGTGAGCTCATGGACTGCAGCATGCCAGGCTTCACTGTCTCCTGGAGTTTGCTCAAACTCATGTCCATTGAGTTGGTGATGCCGTGCAACCATCTCATCCTCTGTCATCCCCTTCCCCTCCCGCCTTCAATATTTCCCAGCATCGCGGTCTTTTCCAGTGAGTCAGTTTTTCGTATCAGGTGGCCAAAGTATTGGAGCTTCAGCTTCAGTATCAGTCCTTCCAATGAATATTCAGGACTAATTTTCTTTAGGATTGACTGGTTTGATTGCCTTGCAGTCCAAGGAACTCTCAAGAGTCTTCTCCAACACCACAGTTGAAAACANTGATCCAGCAGATGTTGGCAATTTGATCTCTGGTTCCTCTGCCTTTTCTAAATCCAGCTTGAACATCTGGAAGTTCACGGTTCACATACTGTTGAAGCCTGGTTTGGAGAATTTTAAGCATTACTTTGCTAGCATGTGAGATGAGTGTAATTGTGCGGTAGTTTGAACATTCTTTGGCATTGCCTTTCTTTGGGATTAGAATGAAAACTGACCTTTTCCAATCCTGTGGCTACTGCTGAGTTTTCCAAATTTGCTGGTGTATTGAGTGCAGCACTTTAACAGCATTGTCTTTTAGGATTTGAAATAGCTCAAATAGTGTTCTTCTTCAAAGGGGAAGTTTGGACCCTGAGAGATCTGGGCTTGGGAAGAACACCACGTGAGCATGAAGACTGAGGGTGGGGTGATGTGTCTCCAGACAAGAAAGGTCAGAGGTCACCAGCAAACCACCAGCAGCCAGGAGAGAGGTCTGGAGCAGATCCTGCCTCACTGCGCTCAGGAGGCAACAAGTCCTGCCCACACCTTGACCTTGGACTTCCAGCTTCCCCGGGACAATGGGACAACACATCTGTGATGTTGAAGCCACCCAGGTCGCAGGGCTTTGTTATGGCCGCCCCAGGAAGCGAGTATACCAAGACTCAGAAACCTTATTCAAGGTTCAGGTACTGAGGTGGGGGGCACAGCCAGGACTCAAAGGCTCCTGCCTGTCTCCTGAGTCCTGCTCGCTCCCTGCTATGCCAAAGCCAAAGCACCAGGGAGACGGCGAGTATGGACTGAAAACCAAACACCGGTGTGATTCCACTTACCCAGCTCAGCCCCCATATCCTGGCTTCCTGCGGCCTCAGTTTCAGCAGGATATTCCAGCTCCCTTCCACCCCCATGTCTGGACACCCATTACCCCCATATTAGCTGGGCATAGAGGTTGAAGAGGCTCCAACGGCATGTACTGGGGTCCCTGGTTGTTTCAGCGGCATTAACCGTGCACGTGGACCCTGTATATTAAGGATGCCCAGCAGGCCCGTGTTGACAGGTATCTCCCCCAACCTCATTCTCAGCCATCCATTCCTTAGGTCTGAAAAGTCTTCAATGTCTGCAAGAGTCCTTTATTAATACGTTCTTTGGAGGGGTGCCACTGTCAACGGTTAAGAATGACGGGACCTTCGGGGACTTAGCCGTGTTGCCTAGGGCTGGGCTGACAGCCTGGATAGGTGTCCCAGCATGCGTCTGCGTCCCACCGGATGGCACAAGCTCCTGTGATGTAGAAGGGGGACTTGGTGGGGGGCGGGGGGACTTCCCTGGTCATCCGTAGCTAAGACTCTGAGCTCCCAAGGGTTGGGGCCCAGGCTTGATCCCTGATCAGGGAATTGGATCCCACATGCCACAACTAAGAATTCTCATGCCTCAACTAAGACCTGGCACAGCCAAATAGATAAATATTTTTTAAAAATAAAAAAGAAGATGGGGGACTCGGGCGTTTGCAGTTTGGATGGGGAGAGGTTGGGGACAGTGTCACCTCTTTCCCAGTGAGGCTGACGAGGCCTGGGAACCAGTCGTGCTCAGGAAATACCATTCTCTGGAATGTGGCTGCAGAAGGGGTCCAGCTGGTCCCTGTGTCTGTGACTTAAATTAATATTGGCTCTCTCGCTGTCTCATGGTCCCACAGGCTAGGGGGTAAGGAGACTGTTGCTTTTTGCGTCCCTTGGCTTCTTCTTTTGTAAATTTGTCCTTTGCCCCACGTTGCTGAAGCTGAAGAACTCCGCCACCTGATGCGAAGAACTGACTCATTGGAAAAGACTCTGATGCTGGGAAAGGTTGAGGGCAAGAGGACAAGAAGAGAAGGGGACGACAGAGGATGAGATGGTTGGATGGTATCACCGACTCAATGAACATGAGTTTGAACAAACTCCGGGAGACAGTGAAGGACAAGGGAGCCTGCAGTGCCACAGTCCATGGGGTCTCTAAGAACTGGACACGGCGGAGCGATGAGCAGCAACACTGCGTGGTAGACACTGAGGCAGGCCCTGGGAGCACTGCTTCCATGCAGCTCATATCCTGATGGGGAAGGCAGACTATAGACAACTTCACGGATGATGCCGGGTAGGGCTGGGTGCTGGAGGATACACCAGGGCAGAGGAGAGGGAGGGATGAGCCTAGGGGCAGGTGACATTGTGCGGAGATGAGAGCAGGGGAGGGAGAGGGCCATATGGTACCTGGTGGAGGTGCTGCAGCCGGGGGTAACATGGGCCAGACTGGCCTGGGCTGATGCTCCCACACCATACCCCAGATGCGGTAGATCTCCAACCCCTCTGCCTGGCCTGGTGCCCCCATCCGGGGACCGGTCACTCACACCAGCAAGATGTGGAGAGAGCACCCAGGAGGCCAGGACGGAAAATTCCCTCGCTCTCCCAGGCGGTGTTTTCGTCTTTTTAATTAATTGGAGGATAATTACTTTATAATGGCATGTTAGTTTCTGCTGTACATCAAAGTGAATCAGCCGTAAGGACACATCTAGCCCCTCGTTTTAGGATTTCCTTCCCACGTAGGTCACTGTAGAGCTCTGAGGAGCGTTCTCTGCGCTGCACAGTAGGTTCTCAATAGTTATCTGTTTTATACATTATATACCAACAGTGCATATATGTCAATCCCAATCTCCCAATTCTCCCAGGCAGCGTTAACCCACAGGGGTTAACTGACCCTGGACCTGACAGACCCTCGGGATCAGGGTTCCCGCTACCAAAAGGGCACACAAAGCCCTGCCCAGTGGGTTCTCAGAACTGCAGATGGTGATGGATCTTGTGATTTTGGCAACAACGAAGGCTGAGAGGCGCTAGGAGGTACCGCTTTCTTGGCCTTCACCCTCATGGATCCTCAGGACTTCTGGAGAGCTTTCTGCCTGCAGGTAAACCCAGACTACACCTTGTATCTCCATGGGGTGTCAGTCATTAGTGACTTTAGACTTGTGCTGACTGATGCATGGCCACCGGCCACACAGGGTTACTGAGCAGTGGCGATGTGACCAGTCTGAACTGAGACACGCTGTAAGTGTAAAATACATGCTGGGTGGTGAAGACACTACCAAAATCAATGTGAACTATCTCATTAATAAAAATTATCTCATTATTAAACAAACGTTAATTACATTACTTTTTAAACAAATTTTTTTTATATGGACCATTTTAAAAGTCTCTATTGAATTTGTTACAACATTTCTTCTGTTACACATCTTGGTTTTTTGGCCACAAGGCAGGTGGGATTTTAGCTTCTGGACAAGGGATCAAACCCACTCCCTCTGCATTGGAAGGTGAAGTCTTAACTACAGGACTGCTGGGGAAGTCCCTACATTACTTTCTATTGATGGTATTCTGGATTTGTTGGGTTCAATAAAATATGTTATAAAAATTAACATCACTTGTTTCTTTTTTCTTTTTAAATATGGCAGCTAAGAAATTTAAGTCTGAATTTGGCAATGAGTTCATGATCTGAGCCACTGTCAGCTCCTGGTCTTGTTTTTGCTGACTATATAGAGCTTCTCCATCTTTGGCTGCAAAGAATATAATCAGTCTGATTTTGGTGTTGACCATCTGGTGATATCCATGTGTAGAGTCTTCTCTTGTGTGGTTGGAAGAGGGTGTTTGCTATGACCAGTGCATTCCAAAGGAGATCAGTCCTGGGTGTTCATTGGAAGGACTGATGCTAAAGCTGAAACTCCAATACTTTGGCCACCTCCTGCAAAAAGTTGACTCACTGGAAAAGACCTTGATGCTGGGAGGGATTGGGGGCAGGAGGAGAAGGGGACAACAGAGGATGAGATGGCTGGATGGTATCACTGACTCGATGGACATGAGTTTGAGTAAACTCTGGGAATTACTGATGGACAGGGAGGCCTGGCATACTGCGATTCATGGGGTTGCAGAGTCGGACACGACTGAGCAACTGAACTGAACTGAAGAAATTTAAAGTTGTATATGTGACTCCTTTATATTTCTGCAAGACATCACAGGTCTAAAGAGATTCACAGTTTGTTTCTTGGAACCAGGTATAATCCACTCCAGCATTTCTCTACCTTATCAGAAAGTTATCACGTCTAGTCTAAATCCCAGTGAAGTGAAAGTCACTCAGTCGTGTCCGATTCTTTGCGACCACGTGGACTGTGGCCCGGCAGGCTCCTCCGTTCATGGGACTTTCCAGGCAAGAATACTGGAGTGGGTTGCCATTTCCTTCTCCATGAGATCTGCTTGACCGAGAGATTGACCTCAAGTCTCTTTTGTCTCCTGCATTGGCATTGGTAGGCAGGTGCTTTGCTACTAGCATCATCTGTGCTGTGCTTAACCCCTCAGTCATGTCTGTCTCTTCAAGACCCCGTGAACTGTAGCCCGCCAGAGTCCTCCATTCGTGGGATTCTCCAGGCAAGAATACTGGATGCGGTTGTCACTTCCTTCTCCAGGGGATTTTCCAGACCCAGGAATTGAACCCAGGTCTCCCACATCACGGGCAGACTCTTTACCGTCTGAGCCACCTGGGGATCCCTGTAGCTGTTTTCAAAATCCCCATTCTTTTGTCCAAGCCTCAGTAGACATGGAGATGAACTGGTTCCCACCTCCCTTGTGATAACCTTTGATGTCTTTAAATATCTTTACAGAGTTTCTTTTTAAGAAGAATCTGAGTAGTGCTGTTTCTTATCACCGAGGTTAGAGATGGAGGTGGGGGAGAGTCCATCTGGCACTGTGAAGTCATCCAGTTAAACTCCCTGCCACATAAGGAAATTCTCAGGACATCCTCCTTAGAATGGTTATTCAGAGCTGGACAAACAGCTCCCTCGGGTCTGCAGAGGGTGAGGGCAGCCAGGTCTATTTCAGGCTTTCCACTCTGGCCCTATCAGATCTTCTCAAGACAGGAATGACGCTTTTTCCAGAATTCTCCTGTCCAGCAAGTGTCCCAGGAGGCTGGGCCAGTTTTGAAATTTTTCTTCCTACCTCCTGGAGATCAAACCAGTCAGTCCTAAAGGAAATCAGCCCTGAATATTTATTGGAAGGATTGATGCTGAGGCTGAAGCTCTAATACTTTGGCCAATGAGTTGAAAAGCCAACTCATTGGAAAAGATTCTGATGCTGGGAAAGACTGAGGGCAGGAGGAGAAAGGGCCAGCTGAGGATGAGATGGTTAGACAGCATCACTGACTCAATGGACATGTTTGAACAAATTCCGGGAGATAGTGAAAGACAAAGGAGCCAGTCCATGGGGTGGCAAAGAGTTGGACATAACTGAGTGACTGAACACTAATAATTTTCACCCCAAAAAGGGAGATATTACAAAGGCCACCAGTCTAGGACCACTGTTTACACTTCAGGCTAAGATGCTTTCCTCCTATTTTCTAGGTGGCAAAAAACAAGGTATAAGGAGTTCCCTCGTGGCCCACTAGTTAGAATTCCGGGCTTTCACTGCTAAAACCTGGGTTCAAGTCTTGGTCAGGGAATGGAGATCCTGTTAGCCTTGCAGTGCAAACAAAAAACCAAAACATAACAACGACAACAAAAACAAGGCACAGAAAGGCAGAACGCTTGTCTCTGCTGATGAAAGCAGCCTGAGCGTGGGATGCGGAGCTCAGACAAACTTGGTCATGTTTTCCGGCTCATTCACTAGCTGGGTGACTTTGGGTGAAGCGCTTCATCTTTTGGAATCACGCCCTCATCTGTAAAACTGAGCTAACGTGTCATCTGCAGGACGGCTGTGAAGTTTGAACGAGAGGCACAATGGCAAACTTGCTAAGAGGGCCTGGAGGCCTGGGTTCACTCGTCTCTAAAATGGGGGCCCTATGGGGCCATTCTCATTGTGTTGGGAGGGTGACGTGGGCTGGTTCATGGAAAGCTTGTGACTCCCTGTCCAACACACAGAATCCTGGGTACCCACCTGCTCCTGTTTGGGAGGTGACGTTCACCTTCACGTGAGTGCTCCTGCACACACACATACACACACACACACACACACACACACACTCATACAGGCTCTGACCTAGAGGTTTCTCCCCTCTGCTCTCATAGCACAGCTGGGTCAAACATCTCTTACCTTATTGCTCACACTATTGAAAATTGTTTACTTGTCCATCTTCCCACCAGATATTAGCCTTTATAAGGGCAGAGTCTTTTTCTTTTTTTGGTCTCTTTTCTCTCCCCATTGTCCTTGCTGCCCCACCCCATCCCCACCCAACCCCAAGTCCTTTGCTTGCCTTTTATCTGTGGGAAACGTTAGTCAAAGAATAAGTTTAACCAGAGAAATGAGAAATGTGGAAACAAAGGAAAATAGTCAAAGGAGACTAACGAATAATGTGGTCACTAAGCACAGTCTAGGACTTCTAGTTCCTTCTCAAGGGCTATGGATAATATTCTGAGCCATATCCTATGAGCTGCTTTGTAGATACGGAAGGCCCAGGTGGAAGAAGTTAACTACATGATAATCAGACTGCACCCACAACTTGAACTGCCACAATTCTGAGAACTGGCCTCAAAGAAATGGATACAAACCGACTCGGGAACCGAAGTTTAACTGTACTGAAAACAATCAAGATGACGCCAGTTAGACCACTGACAACCAATTTCAAGATGCCGGTCAAAGCTGACTGTGCTATTTCTGCACCGAGCCCTATCCCTCTGTCTATAAAAGCTCTTGCCCCACTGATTGCCAGTGGTGGGGGAGTTGGCCTTGGACAGACTTCCATTCTCCCAGCTTTGCCCGTAGTTGCAGGCATCTGAAATAAAGCAAACTTTCCTTTCCACCAGCCTGGCCTGTTTACTGGCTTTTGAGCCCCAAGTAGCTGGACCCAACACATCTTTCAGTAACACTTTTACACACAGTCTGCTGACTGAATTGTCTGGCAGGACCCCAGGACCCAGGAGGAACCATGCTACTGTCTCTGAGGATTCAGGTACTGGGACACCAGCTTGCTGAGCATCCCACCCTCTCTTTCCATTTGCAGAATCTGCTGAGGGCCATCAGCTGTCTCTCCAGACCCCATTTTCCTGGCACCGTGGGACTCATTTGCCAGACCTTCTAACCTCTCCCCTCCCTGGGCTCTGCATTCCAATCTTGATCCTGCAACTGCCCTCAGGGAATCTGGCAAAGATGTTTACCTCCGCTTGAACATCCTGGACGTCGCATGTCTGGTGGGGGTGAAGAGGGAGCTTGGAATCCTGCTTTGCCTTCCCTCTGGCCTCAGCCCGTCTCCCCCTAGCCCCACGTGCCCATCTTGTGTTTATGATTTCCTTTCCTGCTCCCATCTCCCTCCACCTCCTCTTTCTCCTCGCCCAAGCTTCGGACTTGCCCTGGGCGGCAGGTATCACTCTAGTGACACTCCTGCTAAAGAAGCCACTGCCCAGGGAGCTTGTCGTGTTGTCTCGTGCCAGGGCTCAGTGACCGTAAAGTGGGAGTCATGCTGGGCAAGGGGGAGCCACATGTCCTGACTCTGCCTTGGAATCTGTACTATATTGAGATGCAGCAGCTTGGGGCCTTTTGGGAAGGTCTGTCCTGGGAAGTGCAGAGTGTGTGTTACCCGAGATTCACCTAAGACAGGCAAGTCTGTGAAGAGCCATGGAAACCACTAGACATAATGACAAGCAGGCTATAGCAATGAGCTATCCCAGGTAATGAGAAGAGAAGGTGGTATGGTTCAGGGGACAGCCTGAACCAGGAGAAGCTTGGAGGTGGACGAGACGCAGGACGGTGAAGGGCTTGAGCTAGCAGGTAATCGGAGGATGGAGATGGGAGGCCAGTGCATCTCGGGAGGCCAGGGATGGGGCCGGGCAGCCTGTGCAGAGGTCGGTGGTTCCGACTTGGCATCCCAGAGCAGTGGTGGGACGTTCTGAGGCGCTGCAATGACATGGGTCAGCTCTGCAACCCAGCAGTTGAGATGAAGACTGAAGGTCACGGTTGGCTGCTCTGAGACTCCCCAAGGGGCCCCCAGCTCCCCAGCTTCCAGCCTCATGGGCCCCAGCTCTGCTTCGTGCCCCAGCCGCCCACTTATGAGCCAGAACCTGGCTGAAGGAGAGGGAGGCTGCAGAGGGGAGGGAGGACCCAGGAGTGGCTCTAAGCCTCTGTGCTGGGATCCACTCGTGTCCTGAAGCTGGTGGCACCTAGCAGAGCACAGTGTTTCCTGGATAGGGGTGCAGGGTGTGGGTGGGCAGGCTCCAACCCTGCCTCTCTTGGATCTGAGAGAGAAGGTCCTTAAGGTGGGCCCAGGCACCAGGGTCATCACCCCCAGAGGCTTTGGAGGACTCCACATCTGTGAGTGGATGTGGGAGGGCCAGGGTAGGGGTGACGCCTGTGGCTGTGGGCCGGCTAGGTTGAGGATGGCCTTGAAGAATCCTTAGAACCAGGAGGACCTGTGGAGCCCCATGGCCCAGTGGGATTCAGGAATTCCAGAAGCCTGGCCTCTGCATCTCTGACTTGTGATGGACCAGAGGGCCTGACAGTGCCACCGGCAGGAAGGAGGCCGCTGTCCAGAGAGCAGAGCAAGAGGGTGGAGGCTGGAGTGGAGGTCCCGAGGGAGGCCGGCAGCCTGCCTTCAGAGAAGGGGGCTGGGTCTGTAAGGCAGGCATCTGTGAAACACTCCTTACTCTACTCCCTGGGCTTCAACTTCTGGCCAGAGAGGATGAGGTTTTCTTCTCTCTCCCACCCCCCTAAAACTTCACATTAACCCACTAAGTGTCCCCTGGGCTTCTCTTACTGGGGTGACAAAACCCAGGCATGATCGGGAAGTAGTCCGAGAAGCAGAATGACCTCAGGGCCCTGGAGCCTGGGGTGCACCAGGAGGGCAGGGACCGCCTGACTTGTGTCCCTGGGCCTCAGTTTACCACCCAAACCCTTGTTTCCCAGAACCCGACCTCCTCTGACATGTCAGGATCAAAGGCAAGGAAGGGGCCTCCTCTTCCGGCTCCCATTCCTAATCCAGAGTGAGGAGAACAGGCCCATCCCTAAGCCCCACACTGCCCTAGAACACTCTCCTTCACCCCCTGGCTCCAGGCCTCCCCACCAACCCCACACCATGGTGGGGAGGCAGCCAGGAGAAGGACTGGGGTGTAGAATTGTTGATTTGGAACTGGAAGGAACTTTGGAAATGCTCTATACACATCCTCTTTATTATAATTCTTTTGAACTGAGATGACTTTCACATGATATGGACCATCTTAAAGTTTATCATCCAGAGGCATCTCGTTCATTTGTCTTGTTGTGCAGCCAGCATGTCTGTGTAGTTCCAAAACGTTCTCATCCCCTGAGAGAAAACTCTGCACCAGTGAAGCACTCAGCACACTCCCCAGTGCCTGGCCCCATCGATTCATCTTTGTTTCTAAGGAATTGCCTACTCTGGACACTTTCTAGAAATTGAATTGAATGGTACGCTCCCTTTTGTGCCTGGCATTTCCCATTCAGAATTCAAGGTTCATCCACATTGTTGCTTGTGTCAGTGCGTCTGACGCCTTAGGCTGATTCATCTTCCACTGTTTTACTTCTTTGATTCTATAGGTAATGATTGACAGTTGCATGTATGGAGGTCACTTTGCAGGTTTGTCACTTGTTTCTTTTATTTATTCCACTTATTTCTTTAATCTATTTTAAAAAGTTATTTATTTATATTTATTTTTGGCTGTTCTGGGTCTTCATTGCTGCATGGCTTCTCTCTAGTTGTGGCGAGTGGGGGTTACTGCCCAGTTGCAGTGTGCTGGCTTCTCATTACAGTGGCTTCTCTTATTGCAGAGCACAGGCTCTGGGGCCCATTGGCATCAGTTTGTGGCACGTGGGCTTCAGTAGTTGCAGTTCCCGGGCTCTAGAGCACAGGCTTAATGATTGTGGCACACGAGCTTGGTTGCTCCGAGGCATGTGGGATCTTCCGGGACCAGGGATCAAACCTGTGTCTCCTGCTTTGACAGGCAGATTCTTAACCACTGAGTCACCAAGGAAGCCCTATTCCACTTATTTTTGCCCTAGTGGTTCCCACCGTGCAGAGGAGGAAGCTGAGAGCCTGGGGGGAACAAGGACTCTCTTAGAGGGCGCTCATCTGGTGAGCGGCTAGACCAGGGCTCGAACCCTGGTGATATTTGATTCCCAGGTGCCTCCTGATTCCCACAGGCTTGAGACAAGTGGGCAAAGAGGGCAGGGGGCAGAGAAGCCAAGAGAAACCAGCTGGGGAAGGTCACTGACGTGGGGGTGTAACGTGGGCGAGGGGAGGGGAGGTGGGCCCCTGGTGCAGCTCTCCCTCTCCAGCCCTTCCTGCCCACTCTCCACCCAGCCGGGCAGCACCCTTCTGACCCATGCACTTTGCCTGCCTCCCCCACCTCCAGTGCGAAACCTGAGGCCCTGGGGTGAGCACGGGCCCCAAGGTGTGGCTCTGGGGGAACTGCTTCCACTTTTACCTTAAATCTCCACTTTGTTCTTGTCCTTCCGCCAAGGCCTGGTCAGCCTTCCTCAGACCCAGCTCTCCCCCCTCCAGCACAGCCTTGGCCCAACCTCTGCTCCCCCAAACCCTGTGTGGGACCCATAACCCAGCAGGGTGCCTTCCGGCCTCTGTCCAGACTTCAGATGGTCCAGGGAGGGCTGGAACAGAGGTTGTTTTTGCCTAAGAAGCTTCCTGGGTCCTGCCCAATCCCATGGGTTGTGAGAGGGGAGGTAACTCATCGTCCACATCCTCTCCCCCCACCACACACACATACACACACATACAGAGACACACAAGCACACATGGATACACACAGAGACACACACAACACACAAACACACAGAGATATACATACAGAGACACAGACATACACAGGTGTACACACAGTGACACACACACAGATATACACACAGAGATATACATACAGAGACACACACACACAGATGTACACACAGAGATATACATACAGAGACACACACACAGATATACATACAGAGACACAGACACACAGAGATATACACACAGTGACACACACACAGATATACATACAGAGACACAGACACACACAGATATACACACAGTGACACACAGATATACACACAGATATACATACAGAGACACAGACACACACAGATGTACACACAGAGACACACACATACACACAGAGATATACACACAGTGACACACACACACAGATATACACACATATATACACACAGAAACACACACAGATATATACACAGAGACACACACACAGACACATAGACACACACACGCACAGACACACACACAAACACACATAGATATACACACAGAGACACACACACACAGACACATAGACACACACACGCACAGACACACACACAAACACACATAGATATACACACAGAGACACAGACACAGATACACACACACAGACACAGACACGCACAGACACAGACATGCACAGACACAGACACACACACAGACACAGACACACACACAGACACATAGATACAGTCAGACACAGAAACACAGATACACAGATACACACAGACATACACAGACACACAGATACACACACAGACATACACACACAGGCACACACACACAGACACAGAAAGACACACAGACATACACACACACAGACACACACACACACACCACAGATACACACACACAGACCACAGACACACACAGATACACACACACAGGCACACACACACACACACACACACACACACACAGGCACACACCGCTTCTCCCCAGGAACTGGATTCTCCTTTGCTCTCCCCAGTCCTCCCACCTGCCTTGAGCAGTCGCTCCAAGGAGGACAGAACAGATGAGAATTTCGGTAGAGTCTCCAGAAGCCAGGGTACAGATGAAGCTGGGGAGGGTGGTGGAGAGGCTTTGTCTGCATAAGCCTGAGTCCTTTGGCACCCGAGACTTCCTGCTGAAGGTGCGTGGGGTGAGGACACCACAGCTGGGGGCTCCGTGTGCCCACCATGGAGCCCACACACCTGGAGGCGCTCCTACAGGTGTCCAGGTCTCCTCACTGAGGTCCTGCCAGAACGGGCCCTGGAGAGAGAGTGGAGGGGCAAGGCCACCCGGCTCTCCAGCAGGGTTTGGTAGTTCCTCACCAGGTCCTGGCTCAGAGGCGCGCTGGGCAGCAAGGCCAGCCTGGCCGTCTGCTCCCGGTAGTGAGGCAGCGGGTTTGGGCAGGGCCAGCTCCTGGCCAGATCATTGGGAAGTGGGTTGGGCATGAGCTGGAGGCCCCCGGACTCATACCTTCTACCAGCTGAGAAGTGCCGGTACCTGTTGGGGGAAAGGTGCAGAGAGGACAGAGGTCAAAAGGGAGACTCAGGGGACAGATGGGGAGGTGATGCTGCCAGCCATCAGTCCATGAGGACCCCTTCCAGCTCTCTGCCCACCTGGACGCGGACCTGCACCCTGCATGTATGTTTGGATGTTAGGCTGGTGACATCATGCTATGTGGTTGGTCAGCCTTCCACCCTGCGGTCTGTGAGGGACTCGTTCAGATTCTAGCTATCCTTTAAGCCCTCCCATCTTCTCCACCAATGCCGTACTCCTTGTCCTCAAGGTGAACACCACAATTACAGAAGACCTTCCCGCTCTGACCCGCCGCCCTCTGGCCCTGGTCTGCAGACCTGCAGTGTTCAGTTCTGTCTTGGGAAGTCCACTTTTCACACAACAGAGTAAAATACAGGGCTTCCCTGGTGGCTCAGTGGTAAAGAATGCAGGAGGCGTAAGAGTTGCGGGTTTGATCCCTGGGTCCGGGAGATACCTTGGAGAAGGGCATGGCAACCCACTCCAGTATTCTTGCCTGGAGAATCCCACAGACAGAGGAGCCTGGCGGACTACTGTCCATGGGGTCACAAAGAGTTGGACACGACTGAACAACTAATCCTTTCACTCTGCCTCTGGCTCTATTGATAATTGACGTCCCTGCGACATCCACTGTCTGTCTCACGCTTTGGGTACTTGGAGGGTGTGGGCTGGCATTGAGAGCCGTCTTTGCACACGTGTGCAGCGGTACCTGCCTTTTGGAAGCTCCTGGAGGGCAGGGACTGAATGACATGTCTCTGTATCCCCAGGGCCTGGCAGGTGTAAAGCACACAGCTGGATCCCCTAAACTTCCCTTAAGTCATCAAGCCCCTCCCGTGCTGTGGTCCCCTGGCCTCCACCCGCCCCCTCCAGCTACATTCAGACAGAGTGTGGTTTTCAGGACGTGGGAGGAAGGGAAGGCATCAGAAAGAGGAATGGGAGAGGGAGGGGTCACCTGGACACAGGTGGGCTCCCTGACGAGGGAGCTCCTCTTACTTCTTGGAGGCCTTGGGGGGAAGGATGTTGCCATGGGTGTCGAGAGGGGGTGCCCTCACTTCACTCCTCAGTTTGAGTTTCTCCGCCTCTTGGAGTTCCTTCACCGTCCTGAGGATCACCTGTTTCCTCCTGTTCACGTCCAAGAAGATCGGAGTACAGGAGATGAAGGTCAGGAAGCTGTTCTGACCCAGCCAGGAGGGAGGGGGCACAGGGGGCTCTGCTGGGGGCTGGCGGTGGGCCCTGGAGTCCGTCAGCCATCGCCAGACGTTGCTGTCGTAGGGCTTGTCGGGCCTGGAGGGGAAGGTGGCCGGCAGACGCCCGACATCCAGCCAGGTGTGGAAGCCCCAGGTGTGCTGGGCTGTGTCCTTCCAGGGGCAGGCCAGTCGCTGATGCACCTTGGCCTTCATCTCCGTGTAGGGTGGCGGCTTCAGGGCCAGCTGGTGGTAGGCTTGCTGGGTGAAGCCGGGTAGCTCCTTGGGCTCCCTGGGGAGGAGGAACTCGCGTTGGGCCCACGTGCACGGGGTCGGGAGGGTCTCATGGGCGTGGACCATCTGGGGAGAGACAAGGGAGTCTGGGGTGCTCTGCCTCTCCTCAACAGAGAAGACCAGCTGCCAGCCCCCTCTGGACACGGGTTCTCATCAGGACCTGGTGGCCTGGTCAGGGAGTGCTTCTGCCCCTGCCCTTGAAGTGCGTGGCCACTCTGTGTGATTCACATGCAACTTCATCAGTCTTTCTCTTTCCATCTATCGGGTTTTGGCTTTGATTCCAGCCTCCTTTCTCAACCGACATGTTCCCACTCCTCACTCGGGCTTCACCCCTCCTCCCATACTGGGTCCCCATTCCTGCCTGGGGCCTAGGGCTTCTCGTCAGAAACTGCTGCTTCCAAGCAGAGTGTGGAAGGGAAATGGTTCTCCAGGGGATGGGCCAGGGCTTTTCTGTCCCAGCTCCTCCCCTCCCCGCCTTCTCTGACTGCTGCTTCCCCCTCACTCCTCACTGAGATACAAGCAAGTGCAGGAAGCATCAGATGGGGTTCCTTCCTCCCCTTTCTCCTCCTTGCCCCCACGAAACAAACTAGCAAAGATGTACTTGACATGTTGCTAAACCCTTATCCACATCTCATGTAACCCTCGCAGGCTTCCCTCGCGGCTCAGATGGTAAAGAATCTGCCTGCAATACAGAAGGCCCAGGTTCAATTGCTGTGTTGGGAAGATCCCCTGGAGAAGGGCATGGCAACCCACTCCAGTATTCTTGCCTGGAGAATTCCATGGACAGAGGAGCCTGGCGGGCTACAGTCCATGGGGCCGAAGAGAGTTGGACACGATTGAGCGGCTTTCTTTCATGTAACCCTCACAGCCTTCGAGCAAGTGCTACTGTTCCATCTTAAAGATGCTAAAAGCAAGGCACAGGAGGGTGAAGAGCTCACCCGCAGCTGAGCAAGGATGGTGGAGTCAGGCCCCAGACTGTGCTGCTTGGGACCCCCATGTTTCCCCAAAATGCCTCTCCTTCCCTCTGGCCCCAAGAACTTTTCTATTTCCAAAAACTTATCCATTTCTTGGGCCCAGTCCACTGAGTCAAGTCCACACCAACACCCCATGGGGAGGGTCTGAGAGGTCATGATCAGACATCCCCTCTCTCCTCTGAGCCCCGTGTTCACAGGGTCACAGGATGACGGTTCATGTGCCAGGAGCTCCGCTGCCCAGGGGAGAGCACGGTCCATCCCAGGGTGGGGACAGCCCCTCACCCTGCAGGATGTAGAAGGCTGCTGCAGATATGTGTCCCTGCCTCCTACCTTCAAGAAAGTTTCTCTCACTTGGGATGGGTCGTCCAGCCCTCTGGGTGGTCTTTGCAGATGGCTGGCCATTTTTCTGGGCTCCCCAGCAGCACAGGCAGCTTTGTAGGGAAGACTTTCTTGGCAGCATTGTTTGCTGCTGGGGTTGCTATGGCGATGCTTCCTGGGTGGCAACGCAGGGAGGAGGCCCTTACCTCTCCCTGGGAGGGCTCACCTGTCCTTTGGTACCTGGCTGCCTTTCAGGTGAGGGATAGAACTTGTAACAGGAGCTGCTTCAGGGGTGGGACTTCTTGCTGGGAAGGCAGGGGGAGAAAGGCAAGGGTCACTGGCTCCCAGGCCCCTCAACAGCCCGTCCTTCCCTAACGTTGGGGGTGAGGGGTTGCTGGGTAGGCCTTTCTTTTAGGGAACACTCTCTGAAAGGCCCAAATTCCTCCAGCAGGTTGAGAGATCACAAAAAGAGGCCGGCTGTGAAGGAGCAGCTGACTGCTGAGTTAGAGGAGGTACCAGGGTGGGGGTGGGGGATGGGCAGAGCGCAGTGACCAGGCTGAAGCCCTCTGCACTCTCCTTCCAGGGCTCCATGTCACCTTCAGGCCTTGCATCTTCCCCATCACCAGGTTCGCTGTCACCCACTTTCCTTCCCAGCCCCTCCTCACGCCACAGGGACCAGACACCAGCACGCACAGACCAGCATGTGCCCTTGGGCTTTATTGGGTAGGTAGTTACAGTAGTGTTCTGGAGCCGGGGCCTGTGTGTGCGGTCAGCAGGGACCCAGGGCGGCTCCCTATGAGGCGGTGGTGCCAGCTAAGGTGGGCGGGCAGGCAGGCCAGTACCGCGGGCAGGCAGGCTGGCCTCCATCTCCTGTCGGGTCTCTCTGGCATGATTAGGCTCCTCATCAGAGAAAAGTCTCTTGGGCACGTGGGGGCAGCCACTCTGGGTCAGGTACCTCCCACCCCCACCTCAACTCTCGACCCATAAGAGCCCCCTTTACCAGGATTTCTTCGTGCAGGAAAGCTGACTTGGAAATGGGGGCTGGTGGGAGGGAAGGGCAGTGAGAGGCACCCTGGCAGGCAGACCCGCTCCTCTGGGCACCTGCCGTGAGGAACTCTTGAGGGAGGGGCCCTGAAGGAACCGTGCACTGTAGCCCTCCCACCTCCAGGAGCCAAAAGCAAGGAACAGAAGCAAACTGGAACCCCCACCCCATCATCCTACCCCTCTTCTGGCAGTCTCCAGATAATGATCTAAGAAGATAGGCTTATGTTTATAATTAGAGGATAATTTGGAGCATATACACTATTTACAAGGGCCACCTTGCATTGAGCAGGGAAGGTCGGGGGGGGGGCGTTGTCGGGCACAGATGCCAACAGTCTGGGGGCCCCTCCTCCCTTCTCACCCTTGTTTCTGCTGTTCCCACTCTCAGATCCTGATAGGGAGTTGGGGGCACAGATACCAGGCCCCAGGACCTTGCTGCTTGCAGAAGGCCCAAGGGTGGCTCAGACAGGGCGCCTGCTGTAGCATCACCAGTCCGGGGAGTGGGGCGCTGGGCGAGCGGACGGCCCCCGCCTACTGTCCTCGCAGAGGACTTGGAAGGCCGGCCCCCAAGCGCCTGGAGGGCAAGCAGATGGCTTGAGGGACAGGCAGGAGCCCTGCCTCTACCGCAGGTCAGGAATGCACTGAGTCCAGCTAACACTGCCAGGGCCCAGCAGGTCCTCCTCCAGACCGGGGAAGCTGATGTCCAGCAGGATTTTGCTGAGGCTGTCGTTCATCGTGTCCAGGATCAGGCCCTCGGTCAGAGAGCGGTTGGCCGATAGGCTGGCCACCTGTGGCTCGGGGGAACCCGGCTTGGGGACCTCCATGTCAGAGGGTGGGCAGCTGCTGAAGGGGTCAGTGGCGAGGTCAAAGGGTTCGGAATTGAGGAGCTCTCGGGGGGAGTCAAAGAGGGGGATGCTTTTCAGCGGAGTGGCACTGAGATCCGCGAGCTCCAGGGAGTCCGGCAAGGGGCCAAAGGCACCTTGGGGGATTCGTACGGGGCTGAAGTCGAGCCCCCCCACTTTGGCTGGGGGTGTGAGCCTCCAGGACTCAGGGGTCATGGGGAGGGCAGATTTGCTGGGGGTGGAGGAGGTGGGCAGCATCTCCTTAATGGGTGTCTTAAAGGGGCCTCCGTCCTCTGGGTGAGAGCCGAGCTGGCAGGTAGGCTGCGGGGGCCCTGCCAGGGCTGGTTGGGGAGCCCCTGGGCCCTCAGAGAGGAGCAGCTCGGGCTCGTCCAGGCGGGGTGGCATGAGGTGCTGTTTCCTCCGAGACCGGCTCATCTCCCGCCCCTCCCTGCGTTTGATCACCAGCAGGTCAGAGACACGGCGGGCGGGGGACCTGGACCCAGTGCTGGAGGCCTTCTTGGGCCTGGGGGTTGGGGAGCAGGACGAGTCCTCCCAGGAGTGGGAGGACTCCTCCTTGACCGATGGGCAGGGTGAAGGCCACTCTTCCAGGGGCGGGCTCTCGACCTTGATGGGCCTCCCTAGATGTGGCGTCTCCTCCCCAGGCTGGACGTCTTCCTCCTTGATGGAAGGGACAGGAAGCAGAGGCGACAGTCCTTCTGTGAGGAGCAGCTTCTCTTCCGTCACCGGTCCTGCTGTGGGCAGAGGGGCCGCCCCCTCGTCCGCTAGCAGCACCTGGAAGGGAAGCAGGACACGCTGAAAGGGAGCCCCGCAGAGTCCATCAGGCACTGGGGGTACACACGCTTATCGCTGAGACGAATGTCTTGCTGGTTTGGTGCTGATCCTCTTGTCTTCAAAGTCTTGAAGGCTATTAAATATGAGACTGTGTGATGAAGGTGGTAGTTCAATTCTGGGGGTAAAAGAGCATTTTCTATGGGTGCTGGATGCACCCATCCAAGAGAAAATAAAAGGGATGTCTGTTTCATACAAGGCCTTAAACAGGAAAACTAAAATCATTCAAATCCTGAAAGGCAATCTAGGAGAGTATGTCTACAATCTGAGGGTGAGCAGCGGGGCTAAACCAAGACTGGAACCCCAGAAGCTGTAAAAGAGAAGAGAGACATATTTGACTATATAAAAATATAAATCTAACTGTGGCAAGAGAGATCATAAAGTTAAGAAGCAAATAAGAGGAGTAAAAAATATCTGAAAAGACAAGTTACGAACTCATTAACAAAACCCTGTAAGAAGGCAGGCCATGACTGTAAATAAGCATCTCATAGTGAACGATTCCAAGTGACCAAACATGGTGAGCAGCTGCTGACGTACCTGTAAGCAGAAGATGAAATGAAACAAGCAAGTATCCTTAACACACTGGACATGGGCAAGTATTGAAAAGAGTGATGATACCAATTGCCGGCAAACATACGTCTTGTTGGTATGTATGTGAATTATCACAGATTTTTCTTAAAATCAATCTTGCAGTATTTAATAAACTTTAAAACACTTGCCCCCTCAGCAATCTCATGTCTTGCTCTCTACCCACAGAAATAAAAGCACCAGCAAGAAAGATACTTGCAAAGGTATTTATTACAATGGTAGTCATAGGGCAAAAAAAGCCAGAAAAAATGTGCCCATGAAAGCGGAATGGTTATGGCAAAGCCACACCATGGACTACTATGTGCCATTAAAAAATAGTGAATAAGGAGCTTCCCTGGTGATCCAGTGGTTAAGAATCCACGTTCCAATGCAGGGGACTTGGGTTCGATCCCTTGTTGGGGAGCCAAAATCCCACATCCCTTGAGGCCAAAAAACCAAAACATAAAATAGAAGCAATATTGTAACATTCAATAAAGGACTTTAAAAAAAATGATCCACATCCCCCAAAAAAATAATCTTAAAAAAAAAAGTGAATTAGAACAATGCCAAGTGATTGGAAGAATTTCCATGGGGCAGAAAATGTGTGTAATATGATCCCACTGTCAAGGCTCTGTGTGGTGTGTGTGTATGTGTAACATGGCTATGATGATCCGTGTATGCATAGCATACTAAGAGCATGAACGAATCACAGGAGAAGGCACGCTAAAACGTCAACATAGATTATCACAGGGAGCAGCAGGGACATGGGGAAGGTGAGGAGAGGCAAAATGAAGGAGAAGAAAAACTGCAAGACTGCACTGTAACAAAAACACTATCCATGCTACAATCGCATGAATGCATTTAAGGAAAACTATCTATGCCAGTATGTATACTTTTATGTGTATTAAAGTGATATTTTTTAATTAAAAAACAAAAGTAAACCCAAGTCTCTTTATCTGAAGTTGCAGCTACTTCCATCTCTGAGAAAGGGGCAGAGGGGCCCTTCCTTAATCTGTTACAGGCCAGGTCCTGCTCACAGATTCTTTTCTATACCATGGTGGGGTTGTAACTTGCCCTCCCCAGCCTTCCAGCTCGACCGCTGAGGCTCAGCCAGGAGCAGCTCTCCCCAGGGGACTCTCAGCAACACCAGAAGATGTCCTAACTGTCACACCAGGCGGTGCTCCTGGCATCCAGCAAAGAGACCATGGATGCGGTTGCTAAGCATCCTTCAGGGCACAGCGTGGCACCCTGCCCCCACAAAGCACTGTGTGTGCTCGGCTGCCTCCGACTCTTTACCACCCCATGGACTATAGCCCACCAGGCTCCTCTATCCATGGGATTTTCCAGGCAAGAACACTGAAGTGGGTTGCCATTTCCTTCTCCAGGGGATCTTCCCACCCAGGGATTGAGCTGGAGGGTCTTAGGTCTCCTGCATTGGCAGGCTGGAACTTTACCACTAGCGCCACCTGGGAAGCCCTGAATGTCCGCTGTTTGGAGGTGGAGAAACCCAGGGCGAGACTGTCCAGTCACTCTGGGGTTGTGACGGGGTGCGCCCCAGGGTGTGTCCTTTAGAAGGCCCTCTCCACAGTCTGCTGCCCCGACCTACTTCTTAAGCCTGCTTCCCTAGTAAACTCTTCCTGAACTGTCCCAGCCCATCTGCTATAACAATCACCCTCATCTCAATTCTCACAAACTCATCAGGCACATGTGGGCCTTCCAACAACCACTGCATTGTAAAATTCCTTTTTATTGGAACTTTTTTTTTAAGAATAGTTTATTAGGAGTTTTTCCCTAACAAGTTCCTTTTTGGCTCTTATAACACTATTGCATTTTCCTGTGTATTGATGCCTGGTCTACCCACTAAATTTACAAGCTTCTCAAGGGACATGAAGCAGAGCCCGTCACGGACTGGAGTCTCTCCTCGGAGAAGACCTGAGGCACTGACCTTGGGGGCGATGCGGACTCGCTTGCTGTGGCGGGCAAGCTCTGAGCTCATGAGCGAGGCCGCCAGGGGCAAGGGCACCTTGACTGAGGGCTGCAGCACCAGCGACGGGTTCGCGGGGAACTGGATGGGCACCAGGTATGAGCTGACCCGCGGCAGTAGAGGCTTCATCTTCCGCCCTGGGGGGAACAGGATGGGTCAGGAGCAGGGGCCAGGGCTGGGTCCTCTTCTAGCCCTGGGTTCTTTGCTCTCCTTCCCTGGGCTCCAACCCCCGCATCCGCCCTGCTACGGGTATGCCTGGGGACTGTGCCTCCCCCTGTACTAACGTGCACCCAGGGGGAGCTCGGTTTTGATGGCCACGTTCCGGCGGAGATCAGGGTTTGGCCGTTTCTGCTGCTGTTTGGGACAGAGAGGGAGAGAGACAGACCTGGGTCAGGAGGGCAGGGGGACGGGGTAGGGGATCCCACCAGCTGCTCCGGGACCGGGCACGGAGCAGACCGACCGCCTGGTCCCAGAAAGGTGGCAGCAGAAGCACAGGGCGGCGGACGATCCTCCCACCTCATCCGGGTGTCCTCACCCCCAGGGTGCAAAGCGTGGAGCTCTAGGAGGGCAAAGAAAAGCCAGGTGGAGAAGAGAGAGCAACGGCTGCCCGCCGGGCCTGTGCCGTGCACCTCATCAGCATCTTGCGGTGAGCCTGTGGTGGGTCCCCCTGCCACACGCTGCTCTGCTCAGGCCACCTTGATGAGTCCACGGGAATGGGAAGCGGTGGCAGTCACCAGTGTCCTGATGCCCGGAAGCAGGGCTCTGCGTTCAGGGCTGGCAGGCGCACGGCCACAGGCTCCCGTCTCCGGCTAACACCTTGCCCCTGTCACCGAAGCCATGCTGAGCGTGGAGGGGAAACAAGGCCGAGCCCCGAGCGGGAGGGAAAGAACCTTACTGATTCCGAGTGCTCGGGCGAGTGTGCAGACCCTGGGTCCAGTGGCTGGTGGTAGATGGGCATCGTGGGAGAGAAATGAGACCAAGTTACCACCAGTGCAGCCAAGCTGACCAGATGGGTATACCTATTCCGGATGGACGCCCAGGGCCACCCTCAACTATGAGCTCTCCCGGGAGAGTGGAGGCAGCTAGCGGCAGCCTTGTGGGCACTCTGAAGCCCCAAAGTGATCGCTTCTGATGAGAGATTCTGTAGGCTCCGTTTCTACTCTCCACTGTAAAGATCGGCTTTTTAAAAACCCATGTTTCCCAGACTTTCTAAGAATCACCTGAGATTCTTGCTAAAAATATACTCCTGGGCCCACCCCAGGCCTACTGAATCAGAAGCCCCAAGAGGGGCTTGGGAGGCTATATTTTAAGAAGTATCCTAGGCAGTTCTTATCACAGGGCAGTAGGGGCCACCCTGCCCCGGGAGGTTCCCTTCCTGGAACAGAAAGTCCTCTCTGGGGCCTGGTCTAGCAGAGAAGGTGCTGTTCCTTATGGGCTGGTTGGCCCTTAACTCTGCCCTTAGCAGACAATCTCATCCCAAGGAGGACTAGCTTCTTTCTTATTTTTTGGTGGAGAGGAAAGTTTGCTTTATTTAGGACGCTGGCAACTAGGGGTGGGATGGGGCGGGGGGGGTGGAAGGATGGATTCCTATCCAAAGGTTGGCTGCCTGCCCCCCCCCTTCCCCACCAAGGACTTGTTTTGTTTTGAGATGGACATCATGACCTCCAGCACTGGCTCTATTTGGACAAAACCGGTACGCTTACCTTAAACACCTGGTCCAGTGTCAGGTAGCGATTGGCACTGGGGTGAATGGTCCAGAAGGAGACCTTGCCGTTGGCAGACGTCTCGCGGACGAACATGTCATGGAGAGAGAGGTTGTGGCGGATGGAGTTCTAAAAACAGAGGACGCCGCTTTGTCAGCTACTCTGGTTTTGGAAGCGCCACCTCCAATGGCCCCCGAGGAGGTCAGCCCCTGGCTTCGTGTCTCATAACCTTGCCTGCTGGCCGCTCTTGGGACTGTCTGCACGGCCGCCCAGGCAACCTGAGCCACCAAGCCAGCTGTCCAGTAGGGAGAGACCGGGGCTGTTCCTGAGGTGGTGATAAAGCAGGGACCTGGACAACTGTCGGGGGCTGGGAAAGATGAGTGAGGCTGCGGCAATAACCGGTAGCCAGAGAGGTGGGGGGAGAAATTACGACGCTGAGGTGCCAGCAGTTAGGACGCGGTGCTCTCACTGCTGGGGCCCGGGTTCAAACCCTGGTCGGGGGACTGAGATCCTGCAAGTCACAAGGTGCAGCAAAAAAATAAAAAAGAAATCAGGAAGCTGGGGAATTTAGTTGAGATGAGAGTGTGAGGCTAAAGAGTTCTGCTGTGACCTAGATGTCCACTGGTAGATGAATGGATAAAGAAGTTACAGTACATATACACAGCAGAATATTACTCAGCCATGAAAAGGAACACATCTGAGTCATTTGCAGAGACGTGGATGAACCTAGAGCCTATTATAGAGTGAAGTAAGTCAGAAAGAGAAAAACAAATATCGTATATTAACGTATATATACAGACTCTAGAAAAGTGGTACAGATGAAGCTAGTTGCAGGGCAGGAATAGAGACACAGATGCAGAGAACAGACTAGTGGACATGGTGGGGAAGGGGAGGGTGAGATGAACCGGGAGGGTAGCACTGACATACCTATACCACCATGTGTAAAACAGACAGCTGGGGGGAAGCTGCTCAACAGCAGCGGGAGCTCAGATGGCTGCTCTGCGATGAGCGAGAGGGGAGGGCTGGGAGGCCCAAGAGGGAGGAGGGGACATATGTATACAGCCGATTCATGTTGTTGAACAAGAGATACCCACACAATACTGTAAAGCAGCTATGCGCCAATTAAAAATAAGTAAATAAATAAAATCTATAAAAAGACTCCTGCTGGGGGGAAAACAATCCAAAAGCCCCTTGGCTTGGGACGGAGTGTCCGCAGGGCACCTGAGCTGTGGCTATGAGACCTGCATGAGCTATGGCTCCAGGGCATCTGTTTTCCCATGAACATGAGGCAGAGAACATCCCCACCTACTGGAGAAGAGAAGTGACTTTACAGGAGGTCAATCTTGGATCGTGAGGCCCACAGATTATTGGTTTTCTCATTAATGTCTTTTCACAAAGCTATCCAGACACTCTAGCCGCTGTTCAGTGTAGCTCAGAAGTGGGCTCTGAGCATCACTGAAGAGTGTGCATTACCCGGGGAGTGACAGATGAAGTGGCTGCAGGGCTCTTACTGATGGTTTTGCCTGGATTCAGCAGGGTCAAGTCTCAGCCCAAAAGATACGACTATTGCTTGTGGTTCTAGTATCGTCGGCACTTAACTCCTCCCCCGCACCAGACACAGACTACCACTCTTTTGTGCAGACAAAACGACAGGCCTGAGCGACCTAGACTGCGGTTGCTGCGGGACATGGTACCTTCCAGCCTGGCTTGGCGATGTGCTTGAAATAGGGGAAGTGGTCCTCGATCCAAGTGTAGATGTCTTTTAGGGTCATGCGCTTCCTCTCTGTGCTATTGATGGCGAACTGTATCATGGCCATGTAGGAGTATGGGGGGCGCTCGGACGCGGAGTCTGGCCAGGCTGCCGACGCTCCGGGGGGCCTCTCCACCTGTGGGCTCTGAGACGCCAAAGGGAAGGAAAAATAGGCCATGAAAGGAGGGGTCACAAGGCCTCCCCTGCCCCACCCCCGCCCCAAGAACACCCTCGAGAGAAAGCTTTTTTCCCATAGACCTGAATAGAAACAAACCCATCTGAGACCACTATTCTATAGAAGAGAACTTGAGGATCAGGAAGGATTTTGGAGACAATCTCATCCAGTCTCTGAACACAGGACCACTTCTCTGTCATTGGTCATTTTGTTGAGAATATTGCCCGGTAATAAAGAGAAGTCCATCCAGTCTTTGCTGGTTGAAAACTTCTCAGGAAAGTCTGGGCTATATTACATCCTTAAAGCACCAATTGTATGTTAAAACTATACCCGTTTTTCAGACCTCAGGGTTGAGGGGCCTAGGTTTTAGTCCAATTCCTGCTCTGATGTGATGAGAATAAACCCATCTCTTTTCAATGTTTGTAGGACAGAAATATTCCCAAAAGTGTGGGGAGACAACGGTCAACAATGCACACATCTGGATAAGTCTGACGCAAAGATCTGATCATCCATATTTAAAAAGATTGAGCTATAACTTCAGGGAATTCCCTGGTGGTCCAGCGGTTAGGACTCTGCTTTTACTACAAGGAGTGTGGGTTCACTCTCTGGTCGGGGAACCAAGATCCTATAAGTTGCGAGGTGCAGCCACAACAAAACCTGAAAAACGGACTCCCTGCTTTGGGAATTCCCTAGAGGTCCAGTGGTTAGGGCTTGGCAATTTCATTGTGTGACCTGGGTTCGATCCCTGGTCAGGGAACTGTTATAAGATCCCACAAGCCACGAGGCATGGCCCCCTTCCCCCTCAAAAAAACTGAGCCATATCTTTATAAAGTACACAAATTTTAAGTGAACAGCTCAATTTTCACTTATGAACACATCAATGTAAATTTTCCCCTTTAAAAATTAGTGATGGGGGGGGGGCGGAAATTAGTGATGGGACTTCCCTGGCAGTCTAGTGGTCAAGACCCTGCGTTTCCGAGGCAGGAGGCAAGAGTTTGATCTCTGGTGAGAGAAATAAAACCTCCACATGCTGCCGACAAGGCCAAAAAAAACAAAAAAACAAAAAAAAAACCACACCAAACCTGTTGAATGAGGAATTAACGGTATATATAAAGAGTAACCATGAAAAATAAACCCAGGCCACACAAATGGGTCAAATCAATTTTGATTTGAGAGGTATTTAAAATTCACAACTCATTTTATTTGCTGTTAATTTGTCTTCTAATAAAGTGACCTTGTTAAAAATGCTGTACGCCTTTTCCACTGTCGGAATGCCTCTTTAAAGTTCAAGTGGCTTTCTGAACTCAGGCCTCTTCATTAGTCCCTGAATACTAAGTACCTGCTAAGGATAGAGCATTAAACCCAGGGCTGACAGGGTACAGGGTGAGCCAGAGGAACCTGCCCTCAAGGAAATTTCCCAGATGCTGGGGCGGGGGGAGGGGGGAAGATCCCAGGCAGAAAGGGAGCTCCAAATTATGCAGAATCACACTAAATAAAGTGCTAACATGAAAACCTGGCAATTCTGCTCCACAGCCTGCCGGACCTACTTCCCTTCTTAGAAATTCCCTGCACTGGCTCTGACTGCCCTGCTGGGGGATAGGACAGGACTGTTCGTTCACCTTGGCCTGACTCTGCTCCAGGTGACGATTCTCCTTTTCTTCCACCTCTTGCTTGATGCTGCAGGAGGCCAGCCCGTCAGAAGTCATCTTTCCAAGCCACTGGATGTTGGTCAAGCTGTTGTCCAGGGGGCAGCTGGCTGCCTCACCGCCAGCTACAGGGGAGACAACCCAAGATGCCACTTAGCTGCCTGATCCCCTGCCTGGCAGATCCACCGAGACTGGCAGTTAGGTATCACCTCTCCAGGTGATGACTGCAATCTGGGATCACCTCTCCAGGACCTCTGCCTTAAGCAGAGGAAGCGCGCATGCTGAATCTATGGTGCCCTGTTAGGATTTTGGGAGAAATTCAGGAGCACGGCTCAAGTTGCATTTCAACCTGAGCCACTCTGAGCCTCAGAGACTGGTCAAGGCAACCTTACAAAAAGCATGATCGAACATCTCAACAAAGTCAGTCACTTTTCCTTCTTGTGTTTCTCCTTTATTAAGATGGAGAAAGATTCCTACTTCCTTATGTGGTCACTGCAAAGGAGAAACAGAAACAATAAACAAATCCTTTTCCAATATAAAGAAGGCAACAGATGCTGAATTACATTGCAACCCTGTCGACAGGGCCCAAGGATCTGGGTCAAGGTTTCAGGATGAAGGAAGGCAAGACCTTCCCCCAGTTCAGGCAGACACCTGTGTGCCCTAGGTATCAGCATGGTTGACTATGGTCCTTGCATCAGAGAGCTAAAGCTGGCTCCTCCCCCCTTTGCCTTACGGATCACATACCACAGTTCTTCCATCTCTGCCCAGGAAGGGCTCCCGCTGGTCTTGGAAGATTCTCATCCCCAGCTGCGGACTTTGGTCCCAGGGTCTCGGTGATCACTTCCATCCTCTTGGGGTCCTTGCTGGTTTGGGCTTGAGGCTGGGGTCCTGGAGGGGGAGTGGGGGCTCCCCCACAGCTGATGAGGATGAATTTGTTGGGCCCGCTGCTGCCGCTCTCCTTCCCTTTGGCGGTCAGTGCTGTGATGATGCTCTGGATGTTGGCGTTGTTGGGGACGACCACCACTTGGGTGTTGGGCATAGTCGGGTGGTTCAGGATCTTGATCCCAGCTGGAAACTTGCATGGGTTGGGCTGCGCCACCTCCTTGGGGGCCTGCGCTTGAGCAGGCTCTTGTTGGGCAGGGGCCCCCTTCGGCTCCTCCTCTGCTGTGTCACCTGGGGCATTTTGAACAGGAAGGGGCAGCCTCCGTCTTTTGAGAATCAATGGCCGACGGGGGCTGGTTTTCATCATGAATCTGTGCTTTCACTCTCCATTGAGCATCACAAGCGTGGACCCTGGAAAGGGCAAGGGGCAGCGGGATGTCAAAGGTTTGTTAGGCTGAGAAGGAGGTTCTGTTAGGGAGGGGTCTTCCTCATCATGTGACCAGGGGTGTGAACCCACAGGCCCAGGTGAATGCTCCCTGGGCCTCTGCAAAGACCATGGACTATAAGAAGATGAGTTCTATAGACAAAACTGAAGCAAACAGAAGAAATTCAAAGGGGGAGAGTGGGATAAGGTTGGCTGTAGGTCCACAGTCAAGGCTCTGGAAGCTTAAGAATGTTTTTGGAATTCCTTGGCGGTTCAGCTGTTAGGACTCTGCGCTTTCACTGCCAAGGGTGTGGGTTCAATCACTGGCTGGGGAACTGAGATCTGCAAGCCCTGCAGCGTGGCCAAAAAGAATGTCCAGCTACAGAGACAAGCGGAGAAGCTACAAAAATGTGGAAATGTCTCTTCTTGCCTAATCTAAGGTCACTTGCGGTAACTGTCAGGATGAGGACCCTGGACATCTCTGATCCCAGATCCATTCTAGCATAGACCACTTGGTCTGAGCCCACCGAATCAGAGAACAAAGGTGGATTGTACCATTACACTACTGTCATACCACTGAAAAAATCACCTCCCAGTGCACAAGACTTCAGACAGAAGGGAAACTGCTCCACTCAACACCCAGAGTAATGCTGAGGGGTGACATCATTTCATGGACTATTATGCTAGCATTGATCTTAAAAAAAAGTATATACATTTTTTTCTTTCACAATTTGCAAACTGTTTATACAGCGACATTTTAGTACCTGCACATGCTTATTCATATTTCAACTTTCTAAGCATGTTACCATCTTAACTTCTCTTCCAGGACCAAGACTGTAATCCTTGTCTCCTGACTAGTGCTGTGCATTAAGGAAGAGTTTTATCTTTTAAAAACTGTGTTTTGTTGCTTTTGACAGATCCATGGCATACTCTACTACTGTGCGAAGTTGTGAAATTCTGCTGAAAGGTACTTTGAGAGACAGAGTAACGGTCTGCCTCTTCTTTAGAATATCTGCAATCTCCCTAAAAATGACTGTCACGCTTGTCTGACATTTGCCATCTCCTTAAGAGGTCACAGACCCTCTCCACTCTGCCACCTCCCTTTCCTTTATATCTAGGTTTCCTCTACCTTCAAATCTCAGTTTTACTTCCACCTCCTATCTCTTCCGCCCTCCCTTCCTCCCTCCACCCATCAATCAGTAGATGCTAGTATTTCTTCCTCGCCCCTCCAAAAGATATTTTCCTGGTCTAAAGCGTCTTAATTTTTCCTTCTACTCTGACTAGCTTACTTGCTACCATTGCCAACACTTTCTAGCTCGGAGACTTCCGGAGCAATTCCGGGGGACTCACCCCCATCCAGACCAGGGCAAGGCTGCGGGGGTCTCCGGAACCCGGAGGAGGGTCCCTGGGACAGGGCGGAGTGGAGACTGGGTTACCTAGAAGGGAGAGCACCTGGGCTCAGGGGAGTGTGCGAGCCGCGGCAACCAGAGCAGTAAGCTTAGAGGGACCCCAGCCCCCGGGGAAAGGCTGGGGGGCTCAGTGGGAGAGGTAGCGGGGTGGGAGGCCGGGAGGCTGGATGCAGCAGCGCGGCGCACCGTCGCCAGTCCCCCCAACCCCCCAGCCGGAGCCAGCCCTCCGCGCCCGCCGGCCCCGGGCCTCCAGCCCATCGCCCACTCACCTCGCTGCACCGCCGGCTCCCGGCGGCTCGGCGCTGCTCCGACCTGCGGGCCGGGCCGCGACCCCGGCTGCGGGGCGGGGAATCCCGGGATCCCGGCGGGGGAGGGGAGGGGGGGAGGGGCTGGCGACTAGTGTGAGGGTGACTGCAGGGTATTGCTGAGCCCTGGTGGGGAATGTATAGCCGTTGAGCTAAAACGGGGACACGGGAGCCTGCTGCACTGAAGCAGCTGGCCCAGGTGTGCCGGGAGCTAAGCTGAAGGAAGGCTGGGGGAGGGGAGGGGGGAGGGCGGGTCGTCTGCCTCGGCGGGCAGGCAGGGCGGACCGATCGGCGGCGGGTGAGGCCGGTGAGGCGGGCCGAGCGGCGTGCGGACCGGGTGGTCGGGCCGAGAGGCGGCGGGTGGGGCCGCAGGCTCGTGGGGGGAGGGCGCAGGAGGGCTCCGCGGCGAGGGGACGCGGGGGGCCCCGGGGGACAGTGGGGGACCCCGGCCGCCCCGCGCTCTTCCCCGCCCCGCTCCCTGGTTCATCGCTGGGGGCGGGGGGACTGTCCGCCGTCGACCTCCCGGGTAGCGAGCGTCCTGGGCCCCCGAAGCAGCCCGAAAAGGGCTACGACCGCCTCGCTCTGGTTCCCTCCTTAAAAATCCGCGCACGCCGCGGACCTTCGTCCCCGCCCGGAATCTTGGAGCTCTGATCTCCTCCCGCCCAGTCCCTCGCAGTCTTTTCTTTGAAGTAATGGACTTTGTTTTCTTATTTAGCACGTTTTTAGTTGAACGCCTACCATGTGCAGGGCGAGATGCGGGGGTTTTTCTCCCGAGCTTACAGTCTGTAGGGAGGTAAGAGGGGCTCACACGAGCTCCCGTCGAATTGCGTATTTAAGCAAATGAAGAATTAAGAGCTGTGAAGTGATAACAGAACTCAGGGATGACTGAGTATGCTGAGCAACTGAACTGAAGTAAGGAGATCTTGCCTTAGGTGAAAAAGGCATTTCTTTTCTTTCTTTTTCTTTTTAATATTTATTTATTTGGCTGAACCAGGTCTTAGTTGTAGCCTGGGGCATCTAGTTGCTGATCAGGGATCTGACCAGGGCCCCCAGCATTGGGAGCGCAGAGTCTCAGCCGCTGGACCCCTCCACCCCCACCCACCAAGCAAAGTACCCAGAAAGGCATTTCTGATGAACTGAAGCTTGGTCTGAGATCTGATGCCTTTATGCAAACAAGGGAGGGAGACCCTCCAGGACAAGGGAATTGAGGAGGGTGCAAGGACCACATGACAGGAGGAAGCAGGGGCAGCACAAAGGCTGAAGAATACATTTGAGGGGTTTGAGCTAAGGGACAAGGGTGGACTGTGGGTGATGACACTGGAACCAGAGCAACAGGGCCTTAGCCACCACGAAGCAGTTTGGTTCTTGCCCCAAACAAACGTTTCAAACAGGAGGGAGTGGCGATCAGCTTTGCATTTCCCAAACATCCCCCGGCAGGGGGTGCCAGAGGTTAGGGTAGACCAGTTAGACTACTGCATTACCCGGCCCCAGGCCATTAATTATTGGAATTTGAAGGGTGGTGGAGAGAGGGAGAGAAGGGTAGGGTAATAGCACTATTTTTCACATAGGAGGAATGCTTTTATCAAATTTTGAGTTGCATCTAACAAGTCTCAAAAGTAGATTGCCATTTATTGTGATCCCACATTTAATCCTGAACTATATTACTGAATCCCACACATCTAAGCTCCACCCCCCCCACAAATATAATTGACATAGCACATTATGTTAGTTTTAGGTGTACAACATAATGATTTGGTATTTATTATACATTGCAAAATGATTACAGTAAGTCTAGTTACCACCTGCCACCATAGTGACAAAAACTTTTTGCCTTGTCATGAGAACTTTTTTTTAATGAGAACTTAAAAAATTTTTTTTTTAATTTATGTATTTGGCTACGCTGGGTCTTAGTCGCATCATGTAGGATCTAGTTTCTTGACCAGGGATTGAACCTGGGCCCCTGAATTGAGAGTGTGGAGTCTTAGTCACTAGACCACCAGGGAAGTCCTGTGATGAAAACTTTTTAAGTTTATTTTCTTGGCAACTTTCAGATTTGAAATACAATACTGACTATAGTTGGAGAAAGAAATGGCAACACACTCTGGTACTCTTGCCTGGACAACCCCACGGACGGAGGAGTGTGGTAGGCCCGTGGGGTTGCAAAGAGGCAGACACGACTGAGCAACTTCACTTCACTTCACTGACTATAGTGACCACAATGCAATTACATTCTGTGCGTGTGTGCTAAGTCATTTCAGTCGTGTCTGACTCTTATGCGACTGTAGTCCATAGACTGTACATGAACTGTAGCTCCATGGACTGTAGCCCACTTGTCTCCTCTGTTCATAGGGATTCTCCAGGCAAGAATACTGGAGTGGGTTGCCATGCCCTCCTCCAGAGGATCTTCCTGACCCAGAGATTGAACCCACATCTCTCTCTTACATTTCCTGCATTGGCAAGTGGATTTTTTACCACTGGTGCCACCTAGGAAGCCCCATATTACATCCCACAGTGTATTTATTTTATAACTGGAAGTTTGTACCTCTTGACCTCTGTCATCCATTTTGCCTACCCCTCAACTGCCCTTCCCAAGAGAAGAGTATTACTTTATTTTAGAAATTTGCCTCTTTTAGTATTTTTAAAAGAACTATTTATTTATTTGGCTGCCCCAGGTCTTAGCTGTGGCACATGGGATACAGTTCCTCAACCAAGGATGGAACCTGGGCCCCCTGCATTGAGTCGTAGCTGTTGGACTCAGGGAAGCCCGGAGAGGGATATTATTCAAGGCATGCTTAAGAGGTAGAATTGAGAGGGCTTGATGTTGGGTTGGATGGTAGAGGGGAATGGTACATGTCAAGGTTTTTGGCCACATAGCTGGATGGATGAGTGATGAAACTGTTCCTTAAGCAAAGGCTCTGGAAGATGATCACTTTTGTGGAGGGAGTGCAGGGGAAATGAGCATGGGTTCAGCTGTAAATGCGTCAAGTTGAGCTGCATTTGAGACATCTAATTGTTGTCACGTAGGCAGTGGAATATTTGGGTCCTGAGTGTGAGGATTCTAAGCTGAATGTAGAAATACTGGACTCTCCTACTTATAGGTGGTTATGGACATGTCAGCAGGTGATTGCCTGAGAAAGGTGTACAGAGTGAGGCAGGCTCCAAAACCCAGCCAGAGGGAGAGGCCCCCGTAGCAAAAGGGACTGACTTCTAATTAGAGCAGAAAAAGGAGGGTGGGTGCAGATACACTTCTGTTTGTGCGTCTGCTTCCTGGAAGGTGAGGGTATTTCCTTTGCTGTCTCCTGTGTTCTTTGTGTAGGAGGAAGTAAGGCGCTTGGTTGGGAGAGGAGTTCTAAAGTTTTAAGATGATCTTTGTGGGGAAGATGAGTTGATCAGGACACAGTGGGACAGCTGAACAGTGTGGTGTCCCGGTGAGGCTGGGACTCCGAGCATGCTGTTGACTTGAGCACTTCTCACTGGAGCCGTTGCCGCCACTGTTGTCTCTTCCCTGGGCTCCCAGGGAGCCGTCTGCCTTGCTTCTCTGCTCCCTCTGTCCGTGCCCCCTCTTCCCAGTGGCTCAGACGGTAAAGCGTCTGCCTACACTGTGGGAGACCCGGCTTCAATCCCTGGGTCAGGAAGATCTGGAGAAGGAAATGGCAACCCACTCCAGTATTCTTGCATGGAAAATTCCATGAACGGAGGAGCCTGGTAGGCTACAGTCCATGGGGTTGCAAAGAGTCGGACATGACTGAGCGACTTCACTTTCACTTTCCTCTTCCCAACCCACCTTTCCTTACAAAGCACCAAGAGCTACTTTGTAAGAGTATAAACCTGACTGTGTTCCTTCCCTGTCCTGATTTCTGCAGCAACTTCCTAGCACACTGAGAATAACGCAGCCCAGGCCTTGACCTTGCCTTAACATGGTATCATGTGAGCTGGCTTCACTTCCTTCCACCCTCCAGTCTAGCTACACTGACCCTTACTGCTTCCTGAGCGAGTCAGGCACGGTCCCATCTGGCAGTCTTTGCACTTACTGTTCTTTCAGTCTGGAATATTCTTTCTCACATCTTTCTTGTGCCCGCTCATTCTCGATATCTGCCTGCCTTCAGGTCTTTGCTCAAATATCACTTTTGAGATAGGCCTTTCCGGATGACCCTGTCTCAAATAGGCCCAGGTCAGCTCAGCCCCATATGCCAATTCACTTTTCTCTGTACCTCTAATCACTTCCCAACTAGATGTAAGCACCACAAGGGCAGGGATTTAATTTTGTAGCCTGGTATATATTTCCAGCACCCATAACAGTGCCCAGAACACAGTAGGCACTCAGTAAATATGTCTTGAGTGAATGAATAAACAGATGGATGTATTTCCTACCTGCGCTCTCCCTAAAATGTTAGATTCCTGAAGGTAGAGACTTTGTCCTTATTTTTCTTCGCCTGATTCTGCACTGCCTAGTGACACAGATCAGAGTGTGTGGCTTTGTTGTTCACTGAATGAAGGATCATGGCTGTCTGATGGAACCCACCTGCCCTGCTGTGTGACTGTCCCTCCTGGATGCCCAGTGGCCCCTCCCATTGCTAGATTCCCTGGACACCGTCTCAGACTTTTCATTACCCGGTGGGGCCTGTTGACCCTGCCACTGCCCCCAGCCTCTCATCTCTACTGACATAGCTTGGGTACGGGCCTCAGCAGTTCTCGGACAACGCAATAACCTTCTAACTGGTCCCCCTGCTTCCAGGACACTTGCTCTCGCCTCTGTTGCCTGGAAGATCTGTTTCAAGACAAAAGCACACAGAAAAAATTATGGTGCCTATGAGACAACTGAAAATGTGAACACTGGATATTTACTATTTAAGGAATTTGCACATGCAAACATATGGATGTTGCTGTTTCCTTCTCCAATGGATACTATAGTTTATGTAAATACATCTAGTATATAAATAAGTATATTTAATACATATAGTATATAAACATGTATAATACTTATAAGTGAAGTGAAAGTTGCTCAGTCTTGTCTGACTCTTTGCAACCCCATGGACTATACAGTTCATGGAATTCTCCAGGCCAGAATACTGGAGTGGGTAGCCTTTCCCTTCTCCAGGGGATCTTCCCAACCCAGGGATTGAACCTAAAGAATACTGGAGTGGGTAGCCTTTCCCTTCTCCAGGGGATCTTCCCAACCCAGGGATTGAACCCAGGTCTCCTGCATTGCAGATGGATTCTTTAGCAGCTGAGCCACAAGGGAAGCCGGTATAATACCTATAATTTTCAAATATTTATATGTGTTGTGTTACTAGGAATGATATCGTGACTGGGAACATCGTGTTTTGAGAATGATATACCGGTAGGGAAATGGATGGGTTGTGGATTGGCTGTGACTGGTCATGGATTTTTGGCTTTTGGAGCTGGGTGACGGGCACATAGCAGCTCGTATTATTAACTTTTTTTTCTTTTCCTGTGTTCAAAATCCGCTGGGGTAGAAGTTGAAAAAAGAAATCCAAGTGTGATGACATCCGTCCGCTTGAGAATCTGCCCTGACTACTTAGGCCAGAGTCCAAACGCAGGTGGTCCCCCGGGTTTTCCGACCTGGTTCTGGTACCTCCTCGAGCCTGTGTTCTCGCCTGTTGTCTTCTGCCCTGTGTCCAGCTCCATGCAGCCCCTGGGTGTGCCGAGCTCCTTCCCGTCTCTGCCTTGTGTGTGCTGCTCCTCAGCCTGGAGCTGACCCCCACCCCCGCCCCTCGTTCTTCGGCTTTTCCTGCCCTTCTGTACCTAGGTCAGGTGTGACCATCCCCGGAGAGCCTCTCTGGGGGGAGTGGAGGGGAGCACGGCTCCCATTATTGTAGATGCCTGTCTCCCTCTGCTAGACTCTCAGGTCTTTGAAGACAGGCACGGGCCGTGTCTGTACAAGTGAATGGCACCCCATAAATGATGATGCATTAAGTAGTTATTCATCTTTGAACTCCCAGCATCTGGCATGGTGCTTAGGCTGCGCTCATTAAGTTTTCACTGGGCGATGTTTGTTGGGTGGGAAGTGATGTGTGATGCAGCTGTAGGAAGCTGGGGTAGGTATGCCAGCACACCCCTTGGGGTAGGGCTGCGAGCTGCTAGCAGAACTGGCTGGCAGAATGTGAGGAGGAGCTGGGGAATCACCAGGTTGTTGGCATTTGTTTCTTCTCTGCAGGCATGGGTTGGAAGTGGAGCCTCTCCCCGGACCTGCAGACAGCCAGCATCATGCAGTTGCTAACTGCTCTTCTCTCACCCGTTGATGCCTCCCAGGAAAAAGCGCCGCCAAGCTGCCCAAAAACCCCAGCTGCTATTCCACCAACAACCACTGGAGGGCCCCAAACACCGCTGTCTATCTCCCCAGTTTCCCTTGGTCACCCACACTAGACAGGTGCCCAGCAAGCCTGTGGACCACAACACCATCACTTCCTGGGTAGGGTTCCTGCCTTGACTTTGCTCTGCCAGGCTTCTCAGGGTGCGGACTCTGCCCCGTGACCAGGGCTGCCAAAGAATTAGGAGCCTCACGGGCGCAGGAACAAGGAGGCAGCGTTCACTTTCCCTCCATCCTCAGCCATCTTCTCTGCTGTATCTTTTCGCCTAAGTTCGGGAGGAGGCGTGGGTGGACTAGAATTGGAGTCTTTCCCCCACCACGTTCCCCTAAAAGAGTTCAGTATAAAAGTATCCGGTAGCCGGGTGAGAAAGCCAGATAAATGGAAGAAGGAGTGAAAAATGAGATTGTTCCCTGAGCTTCATGTGAGAGGTGGAATTTTTAGCTAAGTACTCTATTTACTGTTTTTTTTTTTTTTTTAATGTGGACCATTTTTAAAGTCTTTATTGAATTTGTTACAACATTTTTTCTGTTTTATGCTTCGGTGTTTTTGGCCACAAGGCCTGTGGGATCTTAACTCCCCGACCAGGGATGGAATGCACACCTCCTGCATTGGAATTGAAGAGTCCCAACCGATGGACTGCCGGGGAAGTCCCTCTGTTTAGTGGACCAAACAGTGAAGAAAAACCCTCAGAGATGGCATGTGTTCTGTCTTGACAGTTTAAAAGCCCTGGGAAGAGAACACAGCTATGGGATATCAGAAAGTGGTGTAGCAGAAGAGCCAGACAAAAGCTTGAGCTCTGCCCCAGAGCACCTAACAGATGTGTGTGGTCCAGGAGTGCTGGGGAGAACTGGACCCCTGGCTTCAGGAGTGGGGAGGAAGTGTAGATGTTAGAGCGCTGTTGGTGGGAGGAGGCATGAACACATGGACGTGTTACGAAGTCCTCACCATGTGCCAGGCCTTGCTCATTGCTCTCCACGCCTGATCTCACTCACTGGTCTGCCTTCAGCCCTTTCATCCTACACTGGGGTCCTCTAGGTGCCAGGTGCTCTGCTAGGTGCTGGGCATCAGTGGTGAAGACAGCTGGGCCCGCCCTCAGAGCTGAAAGGGAGATGTTAAATGTGTTGCAGCCGTAAGGTGTGATGAAGCCAGGGAGGCTGAGTAACTTGCCCAAAGCGCGCATCCCTTCCTATGGTTATCCAGTAGGACAGACAGCTGTTGTTTTTTTGGCCGTGCTGGGTATCTGCCGCTACACTTGGGCTTTCTCTAGTTGCAGCTGCAGGGCTGCTCTTTGTTGTAGTGCACGGACTTCTCCCTGTGGTGGCTTGTCTTGTTGCGGAGCATGGTCTCTAGGCGCTCAGGCTTCAGTAGTTGTGGCTCCTGGGTTCTAGAGCTGGACTCGGTAGTTATGGTGCATGGATTTAGTTGCCCTGCAGCATGTGGGATCTTCCCAGACTAGGGATCGAACCTGTGTCCCCTGCATTGGCAGGAAGATTCTTATTCACTGTGCCACCAGGGAAGTCCCTAGGCAGCTGTTTTAAGTCCATTGCTGTTGTGGGCCCCCATTTAGGGTTCTGGTCATCTGATGCAGTTTCCTTAGGTTTGTATCTGGGAGTTGGCATGCTTCACTTGTATTTCTTTCTTTTGGAATCCTTAGGTATCACCTCAGTTTGATACAACAGCAGAAAGCTGGTTCCCAGGCAACCGGAAGCATCATCATCGAGACAAGAAAAGGTGTTCAAGTCGAAAATCTACCAGCTCCAGGTTTCCATGTCTAACGTTTGAGACTCCACAGTCTTCTGCCAGTTCAGCCACACCTGGGATCCCGGCAATCAAGGATGGCCCCAGTCAACCAGAAAAGGACATTTCTGGAAGGCCCTTGGTGCCCATGCTCAGCCCCCAGAGCTGCAGGGAGCTGTCGGCACATTCACTTCCAGACTTCCCGTGTGCATTCATTCCCCGGGACATCCAGACCCCAGGATCCCCGGGGCAGGGAGAGCCCATTCCCTCTGAACTGAGGGAAAACAGCCTTCCCAGCTGTTCCTTTCACACGAGCACACCCAAGAGCCCAGAGCCCGGGCCTATTCTGGTTAAAGACACCCCAGAGGAGAAGTACGGGATAAAAGTCACATGGAGGAGGCGACGACACCTGTTTGCGTATCTCAGGGAGAGGGGAAAGCTGAGCAGAAGCCAGTTCCTTGTGAAAGACTGACCGGTTTCCCAGACATCCGTGGTCTCAAGAAATTGATCGCTGGAGTCAAAAGGGAATTGAGTTCCCAGATTCGCTTTTTAAAATATCTTGTGTCATAAACAGTTTTTAGTATCGTAAACAGTCCATTTATATTTTTAGTGTATTAACTGTTTAACAAATTTTAAATATAACTGTTTAGAATGTCTGTAAATAAATGGCTGCAGAGTTTTTAGAGAACCCTGCTTCTGACCTACATTAACGCAGCAATACTGCTTCCTCCTTCCCCCATAAATGGTCATTCTTAATTGTTCCCTTTAACCACTATCTATTCATTCTTTTAATCACCTCATTCAAAGTAATTCAGTCCATGTGTTTGAGGACCAACTCAGTGACTGCTTACTTTTTGACCCGGTACATGGAAAAACTTGAAGCAGACTGTGGCTTCTCCTAGTTGGGCTGCTGGCTGGTGAAGAGAGAGCAGCAAGCCTGTTGTAATACATATGGTGAAGGGGGGTTGCCAGGGAGATAAAGGGGACATGATCAAGTTACTTAGAGTTGCTATGTTTTGATTTTTTTTTTGTTTCCAATTGAAATAACCTGTAAATATTAACTAGGGTGGGGAAATTATTTCTTGTCCTGTTTAAAATGTATGTAAATAAATCTGTAATCTTATCAAATACTACTTCTTACTGTAATTAATGCAGAGAGACTGTCCAGTCAACAAAATATCTTACTTTTTCTCCCACCCATACAAGTAGCTTCTCATTCAACTCCATTCCCTCAGACTTCAGAATGTAATCTGTGACAGGTCCAGCCAGAGCAAGACAGCACGGATTATTTTCAATGTGGGGATTTAAAGCACAGATAATGAACGGGGTTCAGGGTCACACAGTGAGTGGAGGCTGGCCAGCGAGCACAGAGCTTGGTTCTCCTAACTTGTGCCAAGTTTTCTGCGTTTGAAAAACTTAAAACGTGGAAAAAAAAAAAATTAAAACGTGGACCCCACACTAGCTTCGAAATCGAACTCCGTAAAGTCAACATGCGATGAGTTTTTACAGGATGTTCTGTGGGGACCGTAAAACTGCGAATAAGTTGGGGACAAGATTTACTGGATCCGACAGCGGATCTCATTACGGGATACGAGGTTAGAAGACGGCCGGCAGGCAGTCAAGGGCGGGAGATGGAAAAGACAGTCAAGCAAGCGTGCAGGGCAAGTTCGTGGACGCCCTAAAAGTCTGGGCAGGACTAGGGCAGGCAGAAGGCGTCCTGCGGATAGGGGGCGCGGCCGCTCATGGTTGGGAAGGACTGCTGGGGTTGGCTAGTGTGGTTCCGGGGACTGTCTCGGGGGTCGGAAGGGCGGCCCCCAGGAAGCGCCCTGGGTGGTCTCTGAGTACTGACCGCCGCGGGGCTGGAGGCAGGGGAGAGCGGGCAGCCAGGGCGCCCGGCCGCAACTGGGGTGTGGACTGCGGCTCCAACCCAGCGGCGCTTAGCAACCCACCCTTAGCAACCCTCCAGCGGCGTCGCCGCCCCTAGAAACCCGTGGTGGGAGCGGCGGGCGCGCGGACCAATGGGCGCGGAACGGCGGGCACGCGGTGGCCAATGGGCGCGGAGCGGCGGGCGCGCGGACCAATGGGCGGAGGGCGGGGTGGAATCACGGCTTCGCCTGGGCCCGCTCCCGCCTGCTGCCCGGTACCGCCCGGCGTACGTCCGGAGCCGAGCCGACCCTGCCCTGGGTCAGCAGCTGAAACCACTGGAAAGCTGGTCTCCCGAGAGGCGTTGGCGCCGACAAGACCCGTTTTTTCTGTTTCATCGGATTTTATTTACGTGAGAGCAGCGCTCTGTGAAGTTGGTTCACTGTTTTTTGGTTTAAGTCAAGGGAAGAAGAACCGACATTTACAAGTATAAATATGGACGCTCGAGGGGGAGATCAAGTAAGCATCATCCGATGAATTCGGGTGGTGCTCGCTCTGCCGTGGCCATCCAGTCAATCTTAAGTGAATAGATTTAAGGCAGTAAATTTCCCAGCTATCAAATGTTTGGTGTGTGTGACTCATGATTTTGGGAAAAAAGAAATGGAATTGACTTTGAGAGACCAAGAGGCAAAATGGTTTTTAATTCTTTGGACCTGAAGTTTCAAGGGATAACTGTCAAGTTTGTCCCTCTTTGTCTTCCCAGAGAAACCAGCTCTTTAATCTGAAAATTGACTTCAAAGAGGAATGTGTGAGTCACCAAATGTTTCTCCTGCCGTATGTTCTGTCATTGGTTCACTGAGTTGTTGCCGAGAGGGAGTGGAATGAAAGTCTCTTGCTTTTTTTGGCTTCACGTTGTATGTTTTGGATGTTTTTGATGAGATACATGGATAGAGTTTTGGGTATGAGTACTTTTCAGTGTGAAGGATAACATCTGACTTTTTAAAGTTTCCTGTGACTTTTCTTTTCTTCTTTTCAGTGATGAGACCGTTTCCCCAGAGTTATTTTCAACAAAGTAGAAAAATTATGAGCAAATACACTGAACATTTTTCCTGTATGTGAAGTATTTAGTGGAAACTGGAGATGGAATTTGAAACAGCACACTCTCAGCTCCTTGGCTGAGCTAGGCGTTTGTCTTGTAGATTCCCCTGGAGATGACAGCTCTGGTTGGCCAGTGCTGGAACCTGAGCCTCTCTGGCTTTGTGTTCCTGATACAGGATTGAAGATGTGGTGGGAGAGGCTGCTCCGTGAGATGTGACCTGGTGACCCAGAGCTGATTAAGGAAGTCCTAGTCTATGGTTTGTCCATAGGCCATGATTTTTCTTCAGAAATACCACCAGTAGTGGTGGCTGGAGGTTATGTCTTGACCAGGCTTGTTATCCTCTTTCGCGTTCTCTCTTTTTCAGATGTTTCATCAGATGAGCTAATTGTTGGTAAACAGACTTACCCAGTGCTTGAATATGCTTAGATTAACTAATACAAGACTACAGTATATCTGGACATTATCAAGAGCTATAGTAAAAGCCTACTGACATCCATCATGCATGTATTTCTCCAAATATGAAGACTTCATAGAGACCTTAGGAAAGCAAGAATAACCCCTGTAACACATTTCCTTTCCAAGCAGGGAGACTTAGACATTCTTTGGAATAGTTTTCATTTCCAGCTTCTCTTATTCTTTCCTGTGGAAACTGTGCTGTTTCCCCTGCCTTTGTGCCCATTGAAAGAAAAAGTTAACATCTCTTCTTACCAAGAGGGAAAGCATGCTTGAGTTGCTCAGAGGAAGAGTGGAAGCTGCCTTCCTTCTCTGTGTTAGAGGATTTGAGGACTAGGGGTGTGTGTGGGTGTGTTTCTCAGTGACGTCCAACTCTCTCCAACCCCATGGACTATAGCCCACCAGGCTTCTCTGTCTACGGGATTTCCCAGGCAAGAATACTGGAGTGGGTTGCCATTCCCTTCTCCAGGGGATCTCCTTCACCCAGGGATTGAACCTGGGTCTGAGGCCTGGAAGGGGCCTTGATATTTCCCTTAGGTATGTTGAGTACAGTTAACAGTGAAATTGCTAAGGCTTCTTTCAAACTGAGACTTCCTGTGGTCTGCTTTCCTTTATTTCCTCTGAGCCAGTTCCTTAGGAAGATGCTCTTTGTATTAAGTCTGTGCTGCCTCGCCAGACATTCTTGTGGTTAGTAAGGCCTACAGCATTGTCCTGGCCTGGTTAGAGCTTGACTCCATTGATGCTTGAGAAGAGACGCCTTGTCCACGTGCTGGTAGATGTGCTGTCTTTATTAACTCTTAGTACTTGTCATGAGTCTTGATAATGAGGATTGTCATCGCTGACCCTTTGCCTTAGAACTGCTGTGACAGCACTCCTGGTTAGCAGGAATGATCTCTGGAATAAAGGGATTGTATCATAGGGGTCACCCAGACCTCTGGGAGACCCCTGTTCTGAAGGTGATGAGAGTAGTGCCCTGGTGTTGATCAGGTGGTCCTTTCTGCTTTTCCACCAGGCACGGAGGTGGGGCAGGCGCTGGAGGCGCCCACTGCGTTCCTGAGCTCTAGTCCCAGCTTCCTTCCTGCCCCTCAGCTACTTCTCTGGCTTCAGTTTTCTCCTCTGGAATCACAGGGTTTCTTCGGATTTCCCTTAATGATTTATACTGAATTAATAAAATAACATATTTCAATAACAGATTTCAAAAGGTACAAAACTACATTCGTTGAAAAGTATGTCTTCTCATCGTCTCTGATGTCACTCAGTTTGCTCATTGGTAGGTTTTTTAGGGGGATCCTCTAAAGATTTTCTGTATATTAAATAATCTCATTTTTTCCATTCCTATTCTTAATTTATGTATTTATTTTTGTAAACAAGTGAGTATGTCAGAATTTTCAGGTTGCTTGTCACAGTGCTGATTTCTGTGATTCTGATTTGATAGAACTCGGCTGAGGTACAGGAATGTTAGCTCTTAACAAATATCCAGGGATCATTCTGTGACCCATACATTGAAAAATACCGTCTTGAATTTATGGCATGTTGGATTTTTTTGTTTGTGTTACTTTTAAAAAGTTTAGATTTTTTTTTCTGCTACTTAAATTTTCTTTTTTTTTAATTTTTGGTTGAACCATGCAGAATATGGGATTCTAGTTCCCTGACCAGTGATTGAACCCATGCTCCCTTCATTGGAAGCACAGTCTTAACCACTGGACCACCAAGGAAGTCCCTCATTTACTGTTCTTAAAATGTGATGATTTTAGTTTTAGAGTGGAATACGATAGTCTAAACACTGACACCTACTTTCAGCATGGGCAAGATATATTTTTTAGAATATGAGCTATAGTTAGTTGCTTCAAGCTTTTTTTTCCCTGTGATAATTAATGTATAGAAAATAAGGCTTGTAGGAAGAAGATTATTTTTCAGACAAGCTTCTTGAAAAATAAATCATTGCTTCTTAGATTTGCTGGAAGAAAAGTCAATAAATTTGTAGTTTGCCTCGGATTTTCGGTTTTGGAATGAGGCAGGTTTATAGAGGATTGATTTGTTTTCCTATTGAAATTCAGTGTATTTTTGTTACGACAATTTGATACACCACATAAGCCAGAGGGAGATGTTTTGACTGAGGAAGGCTGGTCAGATGTGCTTTCAGAGAGGGAAGATCCGTGGAGATAAAGGGATCCATGATGATGGCTTACATTTGCGTATCTTTGCAGAGTTCAGAGAGCTTTCACAAAAGTGATGTCTTCTGAGCTTCACAGCTCTGCAGAAATCAGGGCTTCTGACACTGTCTTCATTTTATAGGTGGGGAGATTAAGGCTCAGAAAAGGTGTGATACAGCCAAGATGCTTGACGGGTAAATGAGGTAGTCAGAAGTGAAATCTAGAGGTAAAACTGGGCTTTTGACTTCGAATCTCCTCTCTTCTTTTTCTCACTTACTATTAAGATATCCATTCCAGATATTTCTGGATGCCATTTTTGCATATAACCGGTAACAGCTGCTACTGATTATATTCTAATTATTTTTAGAGCAAGCAGTTGAAGAAATCAGACATCTTAGTAAAGTACTAATGAGTACTAATTTCATCCATTGGAATGGGAGTGGAAATATTTACTTGGTGTCTTAAGGCAAAATAATGTACTTTCTCTTTGCCACTTTTATTTTTGGCGGTGCTGCGTCTTCCTTTCTCTAGTTGCGGCGAGCGGGGGCTTCTCTCCAGTTGCGGTGCGTGTTTGCCATTGCCATGGCTTCTCATTGTGGAGCCTGGGCTCCAGAGTGCAGCTCAGTAGTTGCCCCGCGTGGAATCTTCCCAGGCCGGGGATTGAATCTTTGTCCCCTGCACTGACAGGTGGATTCTTATCCGCTGGACCACCAGGGGCATCCAGAAGAATGTACTTTGATCTTACTGGAGAGAGAAGGGAAATGACATTACCAGAGAGAAACTGAAACTCCCAGGAAAGGATGACCCAGCAGGAGGTGGAGTGAATCTGGATTCTCCGTTGTGTCCTTTTTAAAATCTGTGAGGAATAAACGGATAGTTTAACTTCTGCACCAAGTCATGCGTTTTAAATAACCTTTCTGTTGGGCTCACGAAAAAGAATGCTTTTTAAAGCCTTTGTTGTGTGGGACATGCAGAATGAGAGAGAGGGCTTCTTCGTCTGAAGCAGTTTTCCTCAGTGTGTTCTCTGGGGCCAAATGAATCATCTCATCAGCTGCCAAGTTTCCCTTCTCACTGCCTCTCTCTCCCCGGGCAGTTCTCCCTTCTTTCTGATTGTCTCTTCTAAATGGGCCTCTTAGGAAATGGGCTTTCGTTCCCTCGCTTCAATTAAGTTAGCCCCAGATTGTGGCAGTCACTCAAGTAACAGACTGCTGAGCCCAGAATATTAACAGTTCTCTTGCATGAGGAAGGGTAGGTTTCTGTGGAGTCTTTTCTGGCTGTTCTAATTTAATCTTTATGTGCCTTCCCCCAGAAGCAATGTTTTGTTCCAGCCAGATGTACTCTTGGGTCTCACTGCGTGTGAAAATACAGCCTCCAGTATTGACATTTGGGATTTGGACAAGGTGACTCTCCTTGTCAGTTGACTTAGAGAAAAATACTTTATTAATAGCTGTTGACCCAAGTACTTGACACCGTGATCAGTTCAGACACAATGAAATCTGATGACCCTTTTCCAATAGTATTTATAACCTGTGATCAACTGCTCCCATGGGCATCTTCAAAATCCATTCACTGGCTTGGAAATTCTGCTGCCTAAAAATACCCATGAACTGACATTTCGACTGAAAAGATTCTTGGCAGACTTGTTGAAATGCCATAATAATGAAATCCCAGATTCTCTGCTGACCATTTGAATATTTGTGGGGAAGGTGCTGTCTGCACGCTGAAGCAGGTGCTGTGGGGCTGAGGCTGAACTCTAGCTCGTCCCCTCATCCACTTTCTGGCCTTGAGCAGATAGCTCCCTCTGCGTTAACAGTTCTCTGGCGTTAACTTTCCTTCTGAGTTAATGATTCTCCCTCTGTTCTGTAGAACTTCATTTTGTTTTGTGTAGATTTGCTAACTAGGCTTGTTTAGGCTTGCTATTCAACAACTTGGTTTGAAATGAAGAAAAGAGAATATTAAAGAAAAGAATGCAAGTTTAGTAAGATCATAATACAGTTTGACCCAAAATCCTAGTTTAGATTTATTATAAGTGTATAAAAATCTTGATTATTTCTGCTAAGTTATAATTTAAAACTAGAACTCAGAGGAAGTGTAACTTTTGTTGTTGTTGTTGTTGTTTTGTTTTTATTTATTTATTTATATTATTTTTAAAATTTTTATTTTTTTTGTTCTTTCTTTTTGGAAGTGTAGCTTTTGAAGTACAGAAGGGATCTAAATGTTACAATTATATAGCATCTTTTTAGTGCCTCTTCTGTTCAGGTCAGAATGCTTTGAATATACCACACTGTTTATTTAAATTGGCCTTCTTGCCCAGGCTTGATGAAAGGATTTAGTGGTGTCGAGATAAGGCATTAAAGACACACCTGTTTTCTTCACTGTTAGAGGCTGTAAGAGAAATGTTGGAGGATTTTAGTTGTGTTTCAGAATTTAGCATCATTGGAAAGGTTTTAGTATTTTATAGGGAATAAAATGATTTTTAGAGCATTTAAAAAATACTTGTTTGTTTATTTGGCTGCGTCTGGTCTTGGTTGTGGCACACGGGATATTTTGTTGCAGTTCAAGGACTCTCTAGTTGTGGTGCATGGGCTCAATAGCTCTGAAGCATGTGGGGTCTTAGTTCCCCATCAGGGATCAAACCTGTGTCCCCTGCATTGCAAGGCAGATTCTTAACCACTGGACAACCAGAGAAGTTCCGAGATAGAATGAGTTTTTCCCCCATGCTCACAATTCTGGTTTAGTGAAAAGGGACCAGTGAGGTGGAGGAAAAGCAGCTTCATAGCAGTAAATGTTGAAAATACTAGTCTGTAAAAGAGAGTTTATTTTTTGTCTTATTTGTTTTATGTAGGACTTTTTCAAGTGAATACTAATTTTCACTGAATACTAATAATATTCTCGCACTGTATACATAAATCTTGATTTAAAAATATGTGAATGAGAATTAAAGACAGGAAATCAGGAGCATACCTAGATAGGGGCCCACAAAGTCAAGGTGAAGAGTGTATCATAGCTCATATTTTTGTCTATTTGTGTCTCTTTTAAGCTAGGGAAAAAATGAGATGATTTAACACTTAGTGTTGTTGTTATTCTTAAATGTAAAGGTGGTGGTTGTTGTTCGGTCTCCCCGTAGTGTCTGATTCTTTGCAGCCTCTTGGACTGCAGCACATCAGGCCTCTCAGGTCCCTCACCATCTCCTGAAATTTGCCCAAGTTCATGTTCATTGCATCCATGATGCCATCCAGCCATCGTGTCCTCTGATGTCCTCCTCTTCGGCCCAAAATCTTTCCCAGCATCAGGGACTTTTCCAGTGAGTTGGCTCTTCATATCAGATGGAAAGGTTAAGAAGAAAGAGAGAAGTTGCTCAGTCATGTCTAACTGTTTGTGACCCCATGGACCGTAGCCTACCAGGCTCCTCCATCCATGGGATTTTCCAGGCAAGAGTACTGGAGTGGGCTGCCATTTCCTTCTCCAAGATGTAAAGGTTACATAGGAATTAATAGAGGGGACTGCCAGAGCATCAGCACACCTCTGTGTGCTGATTCCTATCTCAGGGGTTATTAAATCTGCTTACAGTTAGTGGGCAGGAGGAGTCTTGAAGATGGTGCACAAATTCCAGGTTGCTGTGCATTATTAAAATTTATAAACCCTTCCACAGTGTGGGAATGTCCTAGTTAGCCGTTCAACCATAGAGAGATGCTTTTGTGTATTTACCGAAAGTGCAGGAAAGCCCTGCTTCCCTTTGTAGCTGTGGAACATGTCTTCTTAAATAAAGACCTCGTATTTATAGTTTTTTTTTTTTTTTTTTTGGCAAGAAGCTCCTAGTAAAAACTTAACAATAGAAATAATTGAGAACCATTTCTCCCTTGTTTTATACTTCGTTTCTAAGAATGCTGAGTCACAAAGTCTTAAGTTAGGAAATTGTCAGAAATAGAAAAGATTTTCAGAAAGAATTTAAAGACAGACAGAAGGGTTTGGTTTTTTAATTGAGACAGTAATTTGATTCCACTTTGTTGACTTCCTTCAGTGAAACAAATTTGTCTCCTAATAGTATTATATGTTGTCCATCCACATTTGTACTCTCTTGTAATGACTGAATAGTGTTTTACTCTTTTATTGAAAAGGAAGTTACATGACTTGCTAGATCTTGAAGTCAGTGATTTTAGTAAGATGCTTTATACTACCTAACTATCTCTTAGAACTATTTCCAAAAAAGAAGTAGATCTATATGGGAAAAGAATTAAAAAAAAAATGTATGTATTAACTGATCAGTTTGCTGTATACCTGAAACTAGCACAACATTATAAATCAATTATATTCCAATAAAAATTAAAAACAAAAAAACAAAAGAAAAACAGAAGTAGAATATATTTGATTTTTAGATGTAATTTAGACTCTGGAAAGAGACCAGGATTAGTGTCTGTTTCTGTTATTTAAGCCTAGGCGCGGCTCTCCAGGTCTGTTCCCTTTATTTTCAAAGTGTGAAAAATGGTAGTACTTAATTCATAGGACTGTTTTGAGGAATAAATAAAAGAATAAATTTAAAGTACTTAACACTGTCTGGAATATAATGAATACTCAGCACATGATTTTAAAGAGGAAAAACAGTCCTGGCGTGCACGGGGGTCTGTGTTCTGCCTTTTCTCATCCTGTGGGTATCCAGTCTTGTCAGGTCCCCTGGACTGTGTGGCATGAAGGGTAGCCGGTCCTCCTGCAGTCAGTGTGGGCAGCCTGTGGGGACCGGCGCTTCCCCAAGGTAGACTTAACTGGTTCCAAATGGCCCACAGGAGTAGCTAGCTACATGGAAATGACGAGACTGATGTGGTTTTAAGAGGATTTTCTCTTTAAGTGCTTTCATGTTTTTTTTAACAGAGCCTTTGAAGATGAGACCATGAAGCTCAGGCAGCTGAAACTGGATAACCAGGTGAGCAGAGTCTCCTCTTCTGAAAGATGTGGACAGCTTATCCTAACCAGGAAGCCGGTGGGCCTGACTGTGGCTACAGCAAGGCCAAAGCACTTTGAGGACATCAGCATTAAAACTGGCCTTGGATTTATAGTCACTGAAGATTCCTTGGCATCTGTCATAAGAATTATAAAAATGTTAATGCTGTATTTCTGTGTAGTAATACGAAACTGCTGCCCAAATACCTCTCTGCACTGTAATTTCATGTAACTGCAAGATTTTTTGTTTATCTTAAAATGCAAATCTGAAAATGGTACTGTGCTACTTAAAAGCCTCTATTTTCTACAGAATACTTTTTCTCACAGTACTGGTCCCACTTTTCAGTTACGCGTTATTATTTGCAGTGATTTGACTTATGTTCATTTCCTCCTTTAGACTAAGCTCCATGAGAAAAGGAGCCAAGAAGTCTGTTAATGATGACCTTTCCATCAGAAGGTCCTGGCCTAGGGCTAGGCCCATTGTAGCCCTTCATTAAATATTGGAATGATGGAAGAGATAAATGCAGTTCTGTCTTGTCACACACTGTGAGAGTCCTGATTAATCAGCCTAGAATCTTATACCCAACATGTGTTACTTTAATAGGAGTGTTTTCTAATTCAGGAAATTCTTTAGGTCCATCCAGTCTGCCCAAGTAGGATCATTAGCCATCAGTGTCTGGAGTGACAGGTGACTAAAAATACCTCCAACTTCTGTCTTGCTCCTTTATGTTGCTGTTGGACCTCGTAACGGGACTTTTTGTTGTTAAGTCGCTCAGGCGTGTCTGACTCTTTGCCACCCCATGGACTGCAGCACACCAGCCTTCCCTGTCCTTCACTATCTCCTGGAGGTTGCTCAAACTCATGTCCATCGAGTCGGTGATGCCACCCAACCATGTCATCCTCTGTCGTCCCCTTCCCCTCCCGCCTTCAATCTTCCCCAGCTTCAGGGTTTTTTCTAATGAGTCAGTTCTTCACTTCAGGTGGCCAAAGTATTGGAGTTTCAGCTTTAGCATCAGTCCTTCCAATGACTATTCAGGTCTGATTTCCTTTAGGATGGTCTGGTTTGATCTCCTTGCAGACCAAGGGACTCTCGAGAGTCTTCCCCAACACCACAGTTCAAAAGCATCAGTTCTTCAGCCTTCTTTATGAACTGTCACATCCATGCATGACTGCTGGAAAAACCATAGCTTTGACTGTATGGACCTTTGTTGGCAAAGTAATGTCTCTGCTTTTCAATATGCTGTCTAGGTTTGTCATAACTGTTCTTCCAAGAAGCAAGCATCTTTTAATTTCATGGCTGCAGTCACTGCAGTGATTTTGGAGCTGAATAAAGTAAAGTCTGTTGCTGTTTCTGTTGTTTCCCCTTCTATTTGCCATGAAGTGATGGAACCGGATGCTGTGATCCTAGTTTGCTGAATGTTGAACTTTAGGCCAACTTTTTCACTCTCCTCTTTCACTTTCATCAAGAGGCTCTTTAGTTCTTCACTTTCTGCCATAAGGGTGGTGTCATCTGCGTATCTGAGGTTATTGGTATTTCTCCCAACAATCTTGATTCCAGCTTGTGCTTCATCCAGCCCAGCATTTCGCATGATGTACTCTGCATATAAGTTAAATAAGCAGGGTGACAATATACAGCCTTAATGGACTCCTTTCCTGATTTGGAACCAGTCTGTTGTTCCATGTCCAGTTCTAACTGTTGCTTCCTGACTTGCATACAGATTTCTCAAGAGGCAGGTCATGAGGTCTGGTATTCCCATCTCTTGCAGAATTTTCCACAGTTTTTTGTGATCCACACAGTCACAGGCCTTGGCACAGTCAGTAAAGCAGAAGCAGATGCTTTTCGGGAGCGCTCCCGCGTTTCCGGTGATCAGTGGGTGCCGGCGATTCCACCTCCGGTTCCTCTGCCTGGGGAGCTTCCCCTGGCAGTTCCCGGTGCACGTGCTGCTGGAGCCCGGCTTGGAGGATTGTGAGCATTACTTCACTAGCATGTGAGATGAGTGCAATTGTGCGGTAGTTGGAGCATTCTTTGGCATTGCCTTTCTTAGTGGTTGGAATGAAAACTGACCTTTTCCAGTCCTGTGGCCACTGCTGAGTTTTCCAAATTTGCTGGCATATTGAGTGCAGCACTTTCACAGCATCATCTTTCAGGATTTGAAATAGCTCAACTGGAATTCCATCACCTCCACTAGCTTTGTTCGTAGTGATGCTTTCTAAGGCCCACTTGACTTCACATTCCAGGATGTCTGGCTCTAGGTGAGTGATCACACCATTGTGATTATCTGGGTCATGAAGATCTTTTTTGTACAGTTCTTCTGTGTATTCTTGCCACCTCTTCTTAATATCTTCTGCTTCTGTTAGGTCCATACCATTTCTGTCCTTTATTGAGCCCATCTTTGCATGAAATGTTCCCTTGGTATCTCTAATTTTCTTGAAGAGATCTCTAGTCTTTCCCATTCTGTTGTTTTCCTCTATTTCTTTGCATTGATCACTGAGGAAGGCTTTCTTATCTCTCCTTGCTATTCTTTGGAACTCTGCATTCAAATGGGAATATCTTTCCTTTTCTCCTTTGCTTTTCGCTTCTCTTCTTTTCACAGCTATTTGTAAGGCCTCCTCAGACAACCATTTTGCCTTTTTGCATTTCTTTTCCATGGGGATGGTCTTGATCCCTGTCTCCTGTACAATGTCACGAACCTCCGTCCATAGTTCATCAGGCACTCTGTCTATCAGATCTAGTCCCTTAAATCTATTTCTCACTTCCACTGTATAATCATAAGGGATTTGATTTAGGTCATACCTGAATGGTCTAGTGGTTTTCCCTACTTTCTTCAATTTAAGTCTGAATTTGGCAATAAGGAGTTCATGATCTGAGCCACAGTCAGCTCCCGGTCTTGTTTTTGCTGACTGTATAGAGCTTCTCCATCTTTGGCTGCAAAGAATATAATCAATCTGATTTCGGTGTTGACCATCTGGTGATGTCCATGTGTAAAGTCTTCTCTTGTGTTGTTGGAAGAGGGTGTTTGCTATGACCAGTACGTTCTCTTGGTAAAACTCTATTAACCTTTGCCCTGCTTCATTCTGTACTCCAAGGCCAAATTTGCCAGTTCCTCCAGGTGTTTCTTGACTTCCTACTTTTGCATTCCAGTCCCCTATAATGAAAAGGATATCTTTTTTGGGTGTTAGTTCTAAAAGGTCTTGTAGGTCTTCATAGAACCATTCAACTTCAGCTTCTTCAGCATTACTGGTCGGGGCATAGTCTTGGGATTACTGTGATATTGAATGGTTTGCCTTGGAAATGAACAGAGGTCATTCTGTCCTTTTTGAGATTGCATCCAAGTACTGCATTTCAGACTCTCTTGTTGACTGTGATGGCTACTCCACTTCTTCTAAGAGATTCCTGCCCACAGTAGTAGATACAATCGTCATCTGAGTTAATTTCACCCATTCCAGTGGATGTTGGCAATTTGATCTCTGGTTCCTCTGCCTTTTCTAAAGCCAGCTTGAACATATGAAAGTTCTAGGTTCATGTACTGTTGAAGCCTAGCTTGGATAATTTTGAGTATTACTTTGCTAGTGTGTAAGATGAGTGCAGTTGTGCACTAGTTTGAACATTCTTTGGCATTGACTTTCTTTTGGATTGGAATGAAAACTGACCTTTTCCAATCCTGTGGCCACTGCTGAGTTTTCCATATTTGCTGACATATTGAGTGCAGCACTTTCACAGCATTATCTTTTAGGATTTGAAGTAGCTCAGCTGGAATTCCATCACCTCCACTAGCTTTGCTTGTAGTGATGCTTCCTAAGGCCCACTTGACTTCCTACTCTAGGATGTCTGGCTCTAGGTGCGTGATCACACCATCATGGTTATCTGGGTTATTAAGATCTCTTTTGTATAGTTCTGTGTGAGGGGACTTGGAGGGCAGTAAATTACTTCAAAGGTGGAACCTAGTTCAGCTGTCTCCAGGGTGACGTTCCTGGGGTTGTCTGGCTTCCAGGGCCCCTCCCAGGCCCTTGGTGTCCGTGGTGTCTGTGTGGGGCCTGTCACCACGTCCACTGCCTCTCATGCCAACACATGGGAGGGATCCAGCCTTCTCCTGTGCCCCCGGGATGGAGCATGACCCAGTGGTCTTCAGGCACCCTGTGCTTCAAGGTGGTGGCAGTCACCTCAGTGGTGTATACATGTATCTGTTCTTTTTCAAATTCTTTTCCCATTTAGATTATACAGAATATTGAGCAGATTTCCTTGTGCGGTACAGTAGGTCCTTGTTGGTTATCTATTTTAAATATAGCAGTATGTACATGTCCATGCCAAACTACCTAACTGTCCCTTCACCCTGGCAACCATAAGTTCGTTCTCTAAATCTGTGAGTCTTTCTGTTTTGTAAATAAGTTCATTTGTATCATTTTTTTTTTTTTTTAGATTCTGCATATAAGCAGTATCACAAGATATTTGTCTTTCTCTGTCTGACTTACTTCATTCAGTATGATAATCTCCAGGTCCATCCATGTTGCTTCAAAAGGCATTATTTCTTTCTTATCAATGGCTGAGTAATAATATTCCATTATATATATATGTACCACATCTTCTTTATCCATTCCTCTGTCAATGGACATTTAGGTTGCTTCCATGTCTTATCTATTGTAAAGGATGCTGCAGTGAACACTGGGGTACGTGTGTCCTTTCAAGGGCATGTACTCTCTGGATGTATGCCCAGGAGTGGGATTGCTGGATCATATGGTAGTTCTGTTTTTAGTGTTTTTAAGGACCTTCCATACTGTTCTCCATAGCAGCTGTAACGGTTTACATTCCCACCAACAGTGTTGTTGGGGCCCCTTTTCTCCACTCCTAAAGGATAATAAGTTTTCTTTTTTTCTTCCAGTTAAAAAAGTAGGAAAGTTTAGAAAACTAGGAAAAGGAAAAATAATTATCCACTTTCTACCTGCTAGAGAAATCACTGTTACCATGTTCCTTCATCTTTTCTCCCACTCACATGTGTTTATATAAACTTGTGATTGTGATTTGATAATATGTTAATTACTCTATCTTTTTAATATACTTGGATTATGGTCTTTGCTTGGCTAGAAATGCATTTGTATCACTTTAGATGGCTTTTCTTAGGTGTTTAGTAAATATTTATTAAATGAAGTGAATGGATCCTTACCCCTCTCTGTGCCTCAGTTTTTCCCACTTCTTGAGTGGGAAAATGTAATTTACCAGAGGTTCTGTAAGGATCTGTGAAAGACTGTATATTCTGAAGTAGCCAGACCTGGGGGTGATCTGGCTGTCCTCTCACGATTCTCCTTAGAGAGCGCTGCTGGAGAAGAAGCAGAGGAAAAAGCGCTTGGAGCCGCTCATGGTGCAGCCAAACCTGGAGGCCCGGCCGCGGCGGGCGAAGCCGAGGGGCTGCGAGGAGCTCACTCTGCTGGTGGAACCTCAGGCCCCACATGGCGGTGTCGTCCTGCAGGGTGTGTACTCAGGCAGCGTCCCCTCCTGCTGCTGCACGGCTTTCACAGACCTGGGGGAAGGCAGCACCTTCTCAGGAGGGCCAAAGGGACGATGTCGGCATTGTTACCAGGTCCCTTCATAATCTTTATAATCACGTTTAGGCTTTTGAGTTGAAATAAACGCAGTGGTCCTATCAGAGGAGGATGCCTGAAAGTTCACAGCCATCCTGGAACAGTTGTTTTAGCTGCAAAATGAATGAGTGTGGGATCTTAGTTCCCCATTGAAGTGATGAGTCTTAACCGCTGGACCACCAGGGAAGCCCCCAGAACAGCCTATTTGAGGAGTTTGCAGGCTTGGTGGTTGTCTCCCGCAGAGGGAACCATAAAGCCAGGAGCAGGTAGAGGCAACCATTCCTCCAGTACCTGGACTCAGGGAACAGCAGTGACAGTGGCAGGGAGGAGGAAGAGCAGGGTTAAACACGGCTGAAGCCAGCCCCTGGCCACCTGCCTGGACCAGGTCTCAAGTCCGGAAGACCTGCTTTGCTTTCTGTCTCTTTCTTAAGTTTCTGGAGCACAGCATCAGGTGCATTTTATTAATACTTTATAGCCTCTAGTCGGGACAGCTTGATAAAATGAACACAGATAATGGAGTGGCTTCCTCTGTTAACAGATATTCTCGTGGAGGTCAAGGCTGGAGAAGTGAACCAGCTTGGTGGGTGTTCATTCGGATCACACGCACCAGAACCCCCTGTCCACAGAGCGGATAATACTGGCTTCTGTTTTCTTTTCGTTGGGCTCCTAGGCATCGATGGTCCTGCTGCCTTCCTGAAGCCGGATGCTCAGGATGTGGACACCAGACTTCCTAATCTCACGGTAGGCTCTTCTGCCGCAGAGGACACTGAAGGGAGCCCAGACGGGGAGAGCGCTCGGGACCCCGCCCCTAAGCCGGATCTGCAGGAGGTGCTCCGACAGCACGGTGAGAGGGTCCCCGCTTTGAGGCCGTGAGCTGGTTGAGCCGGAGTGACGTCAGGTGTGGGCTGGACAAGAGTTACTCTGTGCTGTGAGGAATGGAGGGGAAGGGTGCTCTCTAGACCAAGATTCAGGAAGTGTCATTTTGAAAGATAAGGTTCCTCAAGTGGAGGTTCGTTTACTTGTCTTACAAGTTTGGGAGAAATCCTTAATCTCTGTCTTAAGGTACATGTTCACATAAACTGAGTTCTTAGTATAAAAATGGTGTTTGGAAACATAGAACTAACATTGTAAGTCAACTGTACTTCTAATAGAAGAAAGCATAGTAGAAGTGAAGATACCCATGGGAGAGTGAGGTCCCAAGAGTTTTATGCCTTTTTGCTACCCGCCCCCAAAAGTTAACATTTTAGGGAAGAAAAAAAAAGAAACAAATATCTGTCATAAACCAACGAATCTTTTAAATGGTAGTTTTATTGAGATGTCATTCACATAACACACGGTTCACCCGCTTAAAGCCAGCAGTTGATCGGCCCTTTAGTGTGTTGCCCAGAAGCCTGCAGCCATCAGCACTCTCAGTTTTAGATTGTTGTCTGACCCCACAGGGCTTCGTGCCTGTTAGCTGTCCCCCCTCATTTCCTGCATTCTCAGCACCCCATCTGTAGGTGGCCACCGGTCTCCCTTCTCTCTGCGGACCTGCTGATTCTGGGCTCTCATGTCAGGAGCCACATGCTGTGTGGGCCCTCTGTGCCTGGCTGTCACTTAACATCAGTTTTTCAGAGTTCATCCGCGTTGCGGCCTGTCAGTGCTTCATTCCTCTCTATAGTTGAGTGACGTTCCATTGTACACATAAGCCATCTTTTGTTCTTCTTGTCAGCTGATGGGCAGTTGGTGTGGTTCCACTCTGGCTGTTAGGAATAGCGCTGCTGTAAATAGTTATGCATATATTTTCATATGGACATGTGTTTTCCTGGCTTTAGTCTTATCCTTGGGTGTCCTTGAGAAAAACTTGATACCATTTATTTGTGAACTGTGTGAAAAGAGCTCATGGTGGCCCCTCTCCAAGATGGGTAGGACTGCCTGTTGCTCAGTCTCCTTGTCAGTTATGATTTGGGAGCTGTGCCAGCTATTGTATGAGGGGCAGCCTCACCCCAGAGACTAAAGAGAAAGAGGGTTGGGTTTCAAGCGTAGCTCTGCTTCTTTGTCTTGGGCAAAAATGCTGCTCCCGGGCCTCCCCACTGTCATCTCCAGGCCTTTGTTACCTTCACAGACTGAGCCTCTGTCCCCGGTGAACACTGCCTCCCCAGCTCCTCCTCTCCTCACAGCTCACATATATAGAATCACAGGTGTTTTGGCCTTTTGTATCTGACTTATTTTCACTTAGCATAATGTCTACAGGATTCATTCATGTTGTAGCATGTGTCAGGATTTCATTCCTTCTTAAGGCTGAATGACATCCCATTTATGTATGTACCATGGTTTGTTTATTCATCAGTTGGTGGATGTTTGGGTTGTTTTCACCATTTGAAAATTGAGAAGAACACTGCTCTGCGCGTTGGTTGTTCAAGTGTGTGTCTGTGTCTCTGCTTGCTGTCTTTTTGGGAATATACCCAGAGGTGGAATTGTTGGATTCTAGGGTAGTTCTATATGTCTATTTTAGGAACCACTATATTGTTTTCTGCCGTGGCTCCATAATTTTGCATCACCACCAGCAGTGCACTAGGGTTCCAGTTTCTCCACATCCTCACCAACACTTATTTTCTGTTTTGGGGTTTTTGTTGTTGTGTTTTAAAATTTATTATTTTTTAATTTATTTTTGGCTCCATTGGGTCTTTGTTGCTGCCCGGGCTTTCTCTAGTTGCAGCGGGTGGGGGCTACTCTCTAGTTGCGGTTCTCGGGCTTCTCATTGCAGCGGCTTCTCGCTGCAGGGCACAGCTCTAGGTGTGCGGACTTCAGTAGTTGCAGCTCCCGGGCTGTAGGATACGGGCTTAGTAGTTGTGGCACATGGGTTTAGCTGCCCTGCGGCGTGTGGGATCTTCCTGGATCAGGAATAGAACCAGTGTCTCCTGCATTGGCAAGAGAATTCTTTACCACTAAGCCACCAGGGAAGCCTGGTGTTTTTTTTTTTATAGTAGTCATCCCAGTGCTTGTCAAGTGGTATCTCATTGTGATTTTAATTTGCATTTCCCTAATGACTAGTGATGTTGAGGATCTTCTCATGCTTATTGGACACTTATGTAGCTTTGGAGAAATGTCTGTTCAAGTCCTTGACCCATTTTTGAATTGGGTTTGTTTTGTTGCTGTTGAGTTAAATATTCTGGATATTAATCCTTATTAGATATATGATTTGCAGATATTTTCTCTCATAGAATATTTTAAAGAGGCTCAAATTAGGGTGGCAGCAGTGGGCAGGGAAAATGAAGGGTGGAGTAGGTGAGAATATGAAGAAAGAATTGTGAGAATATAAAAGAGTTGTCAGAATGTGCATAAAAGAGCTGTGTGTTAAGTCAGAACAGCTGGAATGTTTTAAGCAAGGGAGTTAAAATTATATTTGGCTCAAAGATTTTCTGGCCTTTTTTAAAAACAGTTTCTCCCTTTCTGCCAGGGATCTCAGGGAGTTTGAACTTTGACGAGGAGGAGACTGATGGGGAGGAAGGAGAAGGGAACCAACTAAGGTCTCAGTCGCCGTGTTCAGAGGCAGAGAGACCCGGTTCTGCATCCAGCCAGAAGCCAGCCCCGGTATATAGTCCTGAACCTTCTTCCTCTGGGGCTGATTTCACTGCTTCCTGGACACGTCTTCCTGTTTAAGTGCCATCACTGGATGAGGGCTGCTTCCAGGATTTAAGCTGGAATTACACTTAGAACCCATGACTCTGTATTTCCTGTGTCTTCAGCCAGATTTTGTAAAGCTATATCCCATTTTCATACTTCCCTTCTTCGTTACTCCCAGTGGTCATGTGGGTAAATCAGTAAGTTAATTTGTCCTTTAAGTGTTTCTCAAAGAGAACATGAGGTTTCCTGACCCAGCTGTGGCTGCTCTCTCAGGGCACAGGGGCCTCTGGGACCGCCCCTCACTCTGACATTCAGCCGGGAGAAATAGAGGACTTGGAAGGCTTCGCGTACAGTCCTGCCCCGCGAGGTGTCACAGTGAAGTGTCGGATAACCCGGGACAAGAAAGGGATGGACCGGGGGCTCTTCCCCACCTACTACATGCACTTGGAAAAGGATGAGAATCGCAAGGTAGGCGAAGTGGTTCTTATCTTGAGATGGAGGAAAGCGTGCTGTAGAGACGGGGGCGGTAATGGTCTTAAGATCAGGGGTGGTGGGGGCACCAGCCTTAGACCTAGTCAGCAGGAACGAGGTTGTACTTAGGAGTTTCCCGTGCCGTGTTCTCACTGTCTTCAGAGAGGTCCTAGTCTAATAGTCAAAATCCACCCCCACCCCAGAAAAAAAGAGTTTTATCCAGGAGTCATAAAATGGAGGAGGATATTTAGATGTAATTGTTTTTACCTCCATCCCTCTTTTGGCATGCAGGGGTTTCCAGCGTGCTCTTAGACTTTTATTCTTATTACATGGTAGAACATGCCAGTGTAGAAGAAAGTACATTTTAGGGAATAGGAGGAATTGGAAAAACAAAAACATGGTAGTGAAATGTCTTGTTTTTCATCCTAGAAATTCTGATTTACCCTTAAATTTGAGGCAGTTAGTATTTGCTAGTGACTAGCCTATTTTGTGTTGATACCAGGTCTAAGTGGATGATTTTAAGAGCCTAGAAATAAGATGGTGGTAGTCGGTGTCAGTGCTATTGACGCCCACTGTTCGCTGTGTATGTGCTGCGTGCCAGGTGTGTGCTCCGGCTTGGTGTGTGTCATCACCTGGAGCCTTAGGACAGCGTGTAAGACAGGAGTCCTAGTCCCCCCTGTGTGGGTGAGGTAGCTGGGGCTTGGGGAGCACCCGTATCACACCAACAAGTGGCAGAGCCAGTCTGAACCGGTTTGACTCCATAGTGCCCCCCCACCCCCAGGTACTGCCCTTGCCCACCGCCCTGTTACTCTCCAGGTCCAGCAGGGTTTGGGAAGGACGCCCGCACCACGGTACCCGCATCCCTGAAGCCACAGGAGCTCAACAGCCACGCACACAGTGGGCTGGAAGGCAGTGCGGTGGGGAGCGGGGGGCCCAGTGTCCAAGGTCCTGCCTCTCCAGGGCGGAGGCAGCCTTCTTGTGAAACTGCATGAAGCTTGTTTAAAATGTCAGTGGAGTGGGGCTTCCCTGGTAGTCCAGTGGCTAAGATTCCACTCTCCTAATGCAGGGGGCCCTGGGCTTGATCCCTGGGCGGGGAACTAGATCCCACATGACGCAACTAAGACCTGGTGCGGGCAAAAAAGTAAAAATAAATAAAATGTCAGTGGAGGTTTTGGGGATGAAGTTACAAATAATGATGTGGAGAATGAAGCTAGTGAATTTAGAAAAATTAGGCAGTTGGGAGACCCTGGTAGTGAATTCTAAGAGGCAAAGCCCAAACAGCGGGTGTGCTGGTGCTGTGAAAGGCCTGGAGGCCCCAGGGGCCCTAGGAGAGGAGGCCGCAGTGGCTTCCACTGTGGCACCTGGGTGCCCAAGGCCACTGAGCACAGGGCGGCAAGGTCAGGGACAGGGAGCGGGTGCCCCTCACCCAGCTGGGTGCCTCGTCCAGGCTCTGCCGGAGACCTGTCTCTCATGCCTGTCCATCTGGGAACCCGAGATGACTGACTTCTGCCTGGGAGTATCCCTCCAGGACTAGGTTTTGAACATGATGCATGAGTTTAACATGTGCTGGACTGCGGACCAGGGGCCAGGCATCATCACCACTGGGGTTTTAGTGCACAGAGGCTGGTCTGGGCATTCAGGGCTTCAGGGAGGTCACTGCTGCCATCCGTGAGGCCATGGTTCCGGCCAGGTTCTCCACAGTCCTTGTGTGGTGAGGCTGCTGGGAGCAGGGTCAACAGGCCCCACACCATCCTGCAGGCTGACTGGCTGCTCGGCTCCGGGCTGGTGCCTCTCACCCCCGCCCCGGGACCCTAGCATAGCCTCTGCTCCTGTGCCTGAGAAGCTGCCAGCTGGCCAGCATGGACAGCACTGTGCTGTGGCTGGGCTGCACGCCACCCCGGCGCTGTGCCGAAATCGTCTTGCCAAGACTTGGGCTGCCTCACCCCAGGCTCTGAGGGGAGAGCGTCTCTGAGAATGCGCTGAGCGTCCCGTAATGACCCACACTGGAGTCTCTGTGCAGAGGACCCACACTCCAGCTGCGGCCACCACGTGGCTTTTCTACAAGAAAAGTTAAAGTGAATTAAACCAGTTTAAAAGTAGAAAAGACCCGGAGGTGGACTGCTTGGTATCGGACAGGCAGCTGCTGGCTATTTGCTCACTGAATGGGCAGGACACACATGGCAGCTCTTGAGTGCATTTTTTACTGAAATGTTTTTTCCTTTTCTAGATATTTCTTCTTGCAGGTAGGAAGCGGAAAAAGAGTAAGACCTCCAACTACCTCATCTCCACGGACCCCACAGACCTGTCCCGAGACGGGGAGAGCTACATTGGCAAGCTCAGGTGGGGGCAACCTCATGTCATGTCCTCTTCATGGGAGAGCTTGATTCTTGTAGTCTCAAAGCAAGTCCACACTGGTTTAACAGTGAGCTGGGTTGATGTCATCTAAAGACAAATAAGTTAATAGAAAGCCCAAGGCCTCTCCTTGTTTTAAGGATGGAAAATGAGAAAATTACAGAGCTCTGTGGTGATTTTTCCTCTTGATTCTAGGTCCAACCTCATGGGGACTAAGTTCACCGTGTATGACCACGGCGTGAGCCCGACCAAGGCCCAGGGCCTGGTGGAAAAGGCCTACACGCGGCAGGAGCTGGCTGCCGTGTGCTATGTGAGTGCTATCTCCCCGGCCTCCTGAGCAGCCCCGAGCTCACAGTCTGCACCCCTCCTGCCCCCCCACGCTTGTTTCCTAGTACGCTCAGGTTTGCTTGTGATCTGCCAAGTTTAGTGTGTTTACTGTTCTGGCAGGCCCTGCCTCCTCTGCCCTTGTCCCTTCCCCATGCCGTGGTGGTGTGAACGCTCATTGTGTTGCCACTGGAACACTGGCTAGAGGGGACAGTGACTGGGAAACCAGTCCCTGCTTCCATCTTCTCCAGGCTGCTGCCAGGCGACCCCACTCCAGCGGACGGCGTCCTTCTGCTCCACAGCTTGTCAGGCTGCCCCCCGAGTCCAGAGTTCAGCCGGACCTCCCACCTCACCCTCCGGCTCCCCCGGCAGCACGCTCCCTGCCCCTGTAGCTGCAGCAGCCCTCCTGTTGTCTCTGACCTCCCCCCCCCACTGCCCCCTCCTGCCTGCCCACCAGGGTCTGCAGAGGGGCCTCTCCCCACATGGGACGTGCTTGACGCTCCCCTCGATTCCTCTTGCACCCCGTGAGCTCCCCTCGTCATGCTTCTGACCCTTCTCTGACCACTTTGTAAACTCCTGCTCACTGCTCTTTCCACACAAACCCGGACCCGCTGTGTAGAGAGCACGCAGAGTCAGAGAAGCGAGAAGGAATTAACCTGACTCAGTTGTTGCTTTGATCCTAGAGTCTCAGCTTCTCTTCAGTTGGAATTAATCTCATCACTTGATTCCCATGAGATTTTTAACTGTGTGACTGAGAATCATTTGACTTAACCCTTTATAACCTATGGTATGTTTTCTCTTAGCTTCAGAATCAATGAAATATTTTAACTATGCATGACTTTAATATGCACCTGTATATGTATGTAAATATACACACATCCACATATTTAATGTACTTATTCATGTATAACCTGCCTGGCTTGACAGGCATTTTAATTTTTCACTTCCAAGTACAGGCTTTAGTTAAACTGTAATTCTCCCTGTATATCGGATAGTGCCATGTCCTTAGTTGGGAAGTAGATATTTATTGATGATGATTAAACTAGGCAGTTTGCTCAAAATTGTCCTAAATTTCACTTCAGGCTAAAGAGGAAGAGTAAGATTTCTAGATAATAGAATCTGCTTTAGATTCAAATGTTCAAAGTAGGTTAAAAAAAAAGAAATAGTATTATTTTCCTGGTCTTAATTCCCTGTCTCTCTTGGTTTAACTACAGTGACGTAATTGAATGGTTTTTATGCTCTCCACATTGTGGATGTTTCACGTGCCCAGCAGAGTCTTGTGCTAAGAATGTCGTCGCTTTTCTTTTCTGTTTCAAGTTCCTGTTTATTTCCCTCTCTTCTAGGAGACAAACGTACTTGGATTTAAAGGCCCGAGGAAAATGTCTGTGATCATCCCTGGGATGAATATGAATCATGAACGGATCCCTTTTCAGCCACGAAATGTAAGTTAGAGTGTATTCGTTTTTAATTTTAAAAAGTCTTTATTTTTAATTGAAGGATGATCACTTACAATATTGTGTTGGTTTCTGCCATGTATCAGCTTGAATCAGCTATAGGTATTCATATGTAATCAGCAAAGGACCCTAAAAATAAGACCGTGATGCAGATAAGATCAGTAGAAGAGACTCCTGCTTCCACTAGAGCCCAGTGTGGCGACCGGCCCTCTCCTTCAGAGCCGTGCCGTCGCTCCAGACCCCCGGGCACCTGCACTTGCTTGTGCAGTTGATTGTAGCCACTTACTTTGCAACTGCCTGTGATTCTCTAAGAATCCAGAAAACCTGGCTTAATCCTTGACGTTCTGTTTTATTTTCTGAAATGGAGAAAATAGGCCGCTCCTCTGCCTGCCCCTGCACAGGGTGGAGGAGGGGTGATCTCCTCTGGCTCTCAGCACAGACCCTTTGCCTGCAGGACCACGAGAGCTTGCTTTCAAAATGGCAGAACAAAGCCATGGAGAACTTGATCGAGCTGCACAACAAGTCTCCGGTCTGGAACGATGACACTCAGTCCTACGTCCTGAACTTCCACGGCCGGGTCACTCAGGCATCTGTGAAGAACTTCCAGATCGTCCATGACAACGACCGTAAGCCCCCAGGGAGAAGGGTGTTCTGGCGAGATTTGGAAATGAGCACTTCCCTTGTTTGGTAGGAAGTTACACTCAGGAGAGAGTGGTTTAAACACAGACCCTTTGCCTGCAGGACCACGAGAGCTTGCTTTCAAAATGGCAGAACAAAGCCATGGAGAACTTGATCGAGCTGCACAACAAGTCCCCAGTCTGGAACGATGACACTCAGTCCTACGTCCTGAACTTCCACGGCCGGGTCACTCAGGCGTCTGTGAAGAACTTCCAGATCGTCCACGACAACGACCGTAAGCCCCCAGGGAGAAGGGTGTTCTGGCGAGATTCGGAAATGAGCACTTCCCTTGTTTGGTAGGAAGTTACACTCAGGAGAGAGTGGTTTAAGAAAGAGAAATGGTTCGTTTGGAAGCACAGAGCTGCACTGTACAGTCAGACCTCTGAGTCGCTGTGTGGAGGGCAGACGTGAGACAGAGACGTCCCGGGGGAGGCAGCGTACGAAGCAGGGGCACAGACCCTCCCTCTCAGCGACGCTTCTGGCGAGTCCAGTCGGGCCCGCAGAGCTCGTGCTGCGCTCGGCAGGCTCCTCTTGGCCGTCCCCTCCTCTAGGCCTGCCCTGGGCAGCCTCCTTCCCCGGAGCAGAGTGGGTCATAATAGAGCCTGGGGTGGCGGGAAGTGGGCACTCTTGGTCACGCCTCTTTCCATCCTTCTGAGGGATTCCCATTGTAGAGAGCTGGGATCACTGGCCTGTGTGGAGGGTTTGTCTCTGTATCTAAAGTGGGCCCTTCCGGGTAGAAGCACCTCCCCCACTGACGTGCCTGCCCTCTGCTTCCAGCTGACTACATAGTCATGCAGTTTGGACGCGTGGCCGACGACGTGTTCACGCTGGATTACAACTACCCGCTCTGTGCACTCCAGGCCTTTGCCATCGGGCTCTCCAGCTTCGACAGCAAGCTGGCCTGTGAGTGAGACCGAGCGGCCGGAGCAGAGTGCTGCCGCCCTGCTCCCGCCCCAGGATACCCGTAGCGACAGGCTGCCCCTGTGGAGCGGTCCCTGGAAGTGTGTCTGTAGATGTGTGTGGATTCACATACGTGTGCGCCCACATGTATGTTTGTACACCCCACCCCCTGGTCACACAGCCCTGTTCAGGGATCACGGCTTAGCTTGGGTGAGAGGTTTTGCAGAGCACAGAGGTGATCTGACATTATCGCCCAGCCATCAGAGTCTCGTTCTTGGAAATTTGCATCCAGAATCAGCTTAACTCTCCTTTCCTGCAGACCTTCTCAGAGAGGGATAATTCCCTCAGTGACCTTCAGTCTCCAGGTTTGCAGACTTTTTCTGAAAATGGCCGGTTCATCCATGGAGATGTGACCATCCCCCACTTCCAGGGTCTCTGTACTGCCCTGGGCCTGGTGGTCTTCCATAATGAGCCTGTGGTCACAAGAGCACCTGGGGGGACGACTGCCTCCAGGAGTGCAGGTTGGAGCTGAGGCCTTGTCCACTGTGACGTAGCCTTTCCCATGTCCTGCCCACAGTGGTTCCCAGAGTATCGTTTACCATCCTGGTCATTCCAAGTCCACCCAACACCTGCCTCACCCATGGAGGAGGGGCCCCCGGAGAAGTGCTCGCCCCCTGCTGTCTTTGTCAGGGGGCAGGGGGGTGCCGGGGGAGTGTGGCACCCATTCCCCAAAGCAGCCGCTCCACTCGGGCTCAGGAGTCACCTGATCACAATCCCCTCTTCCCTCAAGGCTGGCTGACTGGCCCCTGTCTCAGTCAGGGTGGCTGTGGCCCAATTTGTGATCAGTGATGTGAGAAATTTACAAATTGTCTTAATCGTGGTTTAGGCTGGAAGCGTGGACTTTAGAGGGGACCTGACCTGGTCAGGTCATGACTGAGAGGCTTTGACGTGGCCTTCATCATTCTCAGCCCGAGCACCTCCCTCGATGGGTTACCGTGGAGCCGTTAGTGCAGACACACCTGCCGCCCCATGGGAGGGAGAGAACTGTGTGTGTGTGTAAACCTGCCACTGTCACTGTCCAGGGCGAGGACGCTCGGGACTCTCTTCTCAACGCAAGTGTCATCAGCCCCAAGGCCTGGCTCCCCCAGCCAGGTCAGGTCCGTCGCTTCTGCTCGCAGATTGTAAGAGTTCTGCTACGTTGTTCAGATTATTAGCCTCTCCCAACAAATTGCATGGCTCTGCTGCCGGTTTACAGCCTGCTCAGGCACCCGCGTCCTGCGTCTCAGGAGCGCCGTGAGCACTGGCGTCGGTCACCCCCAGGCCTGTCCGCCAGCCTGGGGCTGGGCAGCGGCAGCTGTTGCTCCTTCTCATTCCTTCCGTGGACGTCCTTTCTGTCCCTGCTTCCTGTCCCTGCTCCACACCGAACAGCAGTGGAAGGAAAGAGACTGGGGGTGAGCCGACCCATGGCTCACCCCACCCGCACGTCCACTGCTCTGTCCTCACCGGCGGTCATCTCAGGCTGCGTCCCTCAAGTGCCTCGGTCCTCAGGTGCCCTCTCCCCGCTGGCCTCTCCTGAGGCTGCTCGCTTGGCCTCCAGCGGGGGATATGAAGTGTCTAGGGAGGGGCCTGGGGGCGGCTGCTCTGACCTGCTTCCTTCTCCCACTCTGGCGCAGACACACCCTGGCCTCCTGTCCTTCCTGCTCAAGTGTGCAGGTGATCAGTTTTACATATTTATACTTTTTGTACGCTACAGAAATAAAAAGTGATTTCTATAAAAATGTGAGTGTTGCCATTCTTCTTTCAGGCCCCCCATCCCTCGCATGGCTCCTTCCATCACATCTGTTGTGATAGTTTCATCGCTAGGCAGCTGTGAACTAGTCGTTCTTTGAAGCCAAGTGAGTCTCACTGTGAGTTTCCATCACAGAAGAGCAGGGGTCTGAGGACTCATCACATGCACAACACTGGGCGTTTCCTGGATGTGCGATGGAGCAGAGACTGAGACGGGGGGCCCAGAGAACAGACGATGGAGCTGAGACTGAGACGGGGGGCCCAGAGGACAGATGATGGGGCTGAGACTGAGGGGGCCCAGAGGACATGATGGGGCTGAGACTGAGGGGGCCCAGAGGACAGATGATGGGGCTGAGACTGAGGGGCCCCAGAGGGCATGATGGGGCTGAGGCCGAGACAGGGGCCCCAGGGGACAGATGATGGGGCTGAGACTGAGGGGGCCCAGGGGACAGATGATGGGGCTGAGACTGGGGGGGCCCCAGGGGACAGATGATGGGGCTGAGACTGAGGGGGCCCAGGGGACAGATGATGGAGCTGAGACTGAGACAGGGGCCCCAGGGGACAGATGATGGGGCTGAGACTGAGGGGGCCCAGGGGACAGATGATGGAGCTGAGACTGAGACAGGGGCCCCAGGGGACAGATGATGGGGCTTAGAGTGAGACAGGGGCCCCAGGGGACAGATGATGGGGCTGAAACTGAGGAGGCCCAGAGGTCATGATGGAGCTGACACTGAGGGGGCCCAGAGGGCGGTGCTTGCAACTGTCAGCCTCCTGGGTCACCTTCCTGATTTGCCAGCAGAAAAAAACAGAATGAAGGGACCCTCTCTCTCAGCTCTCAGTAGTCACATTTAAGGCTTCCTTCTACAGACAAGTTAAAAGGAATATGTTCACAAGTCCTGGTGAGGCCTTCCTACTCTTAGGGTCACGGGATGAGTCCTGTGGAAGAACAGGAAGAGTCACATCATGGTGAGGGCTGGGGTCAGTGTGATGGGTACAGCTTGGGTTTTCATTTTCACTTGATTTTTCTTTTTTTGCCAAACAGGGTATTTGTGACCCAGTTATATACACTTTTCAGTGACCAAGAATAATATCAATGATCATTGATATTAAAGATACCAGGAAATGATTTTCAAACATCTGTACAAGCCTGCAAAAGGCTCTTTTTAAAGTTTATTTTTAATTGAAGGATAATTTCTTTACAAGATCATGTTGGTTTCCATCATATTCATCAGCATGAATCAGCCATAGGTATACATGTGTCCACTTGAACTTGAACCTCCCTCCCGGCTCCCACCCCATCCCATCCCTCTGCAAAAGGCTCTTTTGGGTGGAAGGTTAGTAGGTGAGAAAAATGAACGAACATCCGTTCACTGCCTTTAGACGGCATCATGGGTGCGGAAATAAAGCGACGGTCAAATCGGGCAGAGTCCCTGGGTTCTGGGTCTTGTCCTGCCAGGGATTTGCCTCCCCTGTAGATTGAGGGGTTGGAATTATTCACACATGGTCTCCTGTCCTTAAGTGAACCCACCCAGAGTCTGAGGGGTTGCCTCAGGGTCCCTCCGTCTCCCTGCCCACACCCACAGTCGCTCGGGACCCCACAGCATGTTTGCAGCCGTGTGCTCTGATTCCCTCCTTCCTGCACAGCCGCTGTTGGCTGTCCCACTGCTTGTAGTGGGAGAAACCTGGGGAGGGGAGACTGGACTGGGGCGAGCGCACCTGGGGAACGGCGTGACCCTGCAACTGAGGAAGCCGCTTCCCAACCACTGGCCACACCTGTTCCCGGAGAAGACCCACAGGTATTGAGAGCTGCCCCCTCAGCCTCCAGCGCCCCTCTGCACGGGGTGATCGCTGCCACGCGTGTCAAGGCTGCCCTTCCCAGCCTCCATCTTCCTGAACGTCCCCACGTGGACCCCGCCTGCACGGCTCGCCCAGGACTGGCTGGATCTTGCCCCAACCTCACGGATTGCTTGGCCAAGGGCACCTGGGCTAGTTGCTCTCCTGGTCAGCGTGTGCTCTAGAGGTCCCACAGCTCTTCCCCTCTGCAGAAACCCAGCGTGGGGGTGGGGGGGGGCACTGTCTGTGAAGTTTTCAGGCAAGCCCTCCTAAGCCACTGGGCTTCCCAGGTGGTACTAGTGGTAAAGAATCCACCTGCCAGTTCAGGAGACAAGAGACATTGGTTCCGTCCCTGCATCCCTGGGTCAGGAAGATGCCCTGGATTAGGAAATGGCAACCGTGGACAAAGTAGCCTGGTGGGTTAACAGTCCAGGGGGCCGCCAAGAGTCTGAGCAACAGCCCCTCCCTAAACCGTGGGCGGCTCCCTAGCACCACCTGCTGACCCAGGGGGCATGTTACAAGTGCCGGAACGTGAGGAACACAGATTCCAGGGTCTATTGTCCTGTGCTCACTAGGCGCTCTGTGCTCCGGCATCAACACGACTCTAGAAGCTCTGGGGACAGTAGCATTTCTGGAGGGTAGACAGTGGAGGGACTCCAGGCAGAACGCCTGGGCTCCAGCACCAAATGCTAGGCAGATAGCAATGTTATCATTTTTATTAGTGTCTTTTTACAAATGGAATAATGCATCTCAGTTGACTTTTTTTTTAACCATGCAGTTACACAAAATGGTTTATAAGTGTTCATAAAATTTTCCAGGGACTAAGGTCTATTGTCCTGTGCTCACTAGGCGCTCTGTGCTCCGGCATCAACACGACTCTAGAAGCTCTGGGGACAGTAGCATTTCTGGAGGGTAGACAGTGGAGGGACTCCAGGCAGAACGCCTGGGCTCCAGCACCAAATGCTAGGCAGATAGCAATGTTATCATTTTTATTAGTGTCTTTTTACAAATGGAATAATGCATCTCAGTTGACTTTTTTTTTAACCATGCAGTTACACAAAATGGTTTATAAGTGTTCATAAAATTTTCCAGGGACTATGGTCCAAGGAAAGAAAACAGCATGACTTAACTAGGGAGCTAAACATTCCTACTGTGGTCTCAGGCCTGAGCTTACCTTGCCTTCCTGACTTTGTACCCTTCTCTCAGTATTCTTACCTGGAAAATTCCATGGACAGAGGAGCCTGGCAGGCTACAGTCCACGGGGTCACAAAGAGTCAAAAACAACTGAGCAACTAACACTTTCACTTTCTCCTGCTTGAAGGAACAGCCCATGCCAAAAAAAAAAAAAAAAGCCCTGAGATTAATGCAAGTTTCTGCAATATTTTAAATACGAAGCAGGCCTCCATGGTCTTCTGCTGAGTCCTTCTGTCTATCAGGCCCACTCTCCCATGCATGGGGCCAAGCTGAGACCCAGGAGCCCGGGTGCAAGATGAGTGAGCCACGCGGAGGACAGAGGTGGTGGGGGCCAGGGAGGAAGTGGGACTTTCCTGGTCTGTTCCAACTTCTTATTACACATGGTGGTGTAAGCTAGTGGTTCTCAAACCTTGGGGTTTTAACATCTGGGTAAGTACTATCCACCTAGATTCTGTCCCTTGTGATTTTCAGGGACTCCAAGAATAATCAGTAGTTCCCTTTCTTCCGTAGTCTGTGGGCAGGGAAGTCAGGAAGGAAGGATGGTCTGAGAGGAAAGAAGGGTGATAGGCAGAGGGGTCTGGGACTTAGATCAAGCTTTGAAGAGTGGGTCTAGATGGAATTTCTAGGGTGCTGATGCATGCCCAGTGTGGACTCAATCAGGGTAAGATTGAAGGATGCCCTTAGAAATACGTCCTGATTTTGCCTTTGGTCAGTCTAATGTTATCCTGTGTCACATATGGATACAAATTTTAAATAGTAATGATTTCATGTGGTTCAAAAAGTGTTTATACAATTAAAGCCTCCTCTTGTACCTGTCCCCTTCTTCTGTTTCTCTTGCTCGGTCGTACTCTCACAGTTGACCAATTTTAGTTTCCAGTGTATCATCATGCAAAAATAAAAATGTATTTGTCATCTCCCAATCTTTGTGCACAAAAGGTAGCATGTTACATACTTGGTTCAGTTTAGTTCAGTTCAGTAGTTCAGTCATGTCTGATTCTTAGCGACCCCATGGACTACAGCATGTCAGGCTTCCCTGTCCATCACCAACTCCTGGAGCTTGCTCAAACTTGTTCATCGAGCCAGTGATTCCATCCAACCATCTCATCCTCTGTCCCCTTCTCCTCCTGCCTTCAATCTTTCCCATCATCAGGGCTTGGTTCAGTAGCTTGTTTTTTTTCATTTAATATATCCTAGAGATGTTTCCATATCAATAAATACAGTCCTTCCTCATAGAGGCACAACTCATCTTACTGCTTTATTATGCTTTGTTGACACAGTTTCGGTTTTTTTTGGACACTCTTTTTGTGTTTTTGTTTTTTCACACAAATTGAAGGTTTGTGGCAACCTTGTATTGTCAGATGCCAATTATCATTTAACAATAAAATATTTAAAATCAAAGTATGAGCATTGCTTTTTAGACATCATGCTGTTGCACAGCGTAGTTACCAGGCTACTGTATAGTATAAACATAACTTTTACCGTATGTACTGAGAAAGCTCCATATTTGTGTGGCTCACTTTATTTTGATATCTGCCTCATTGCAGTGGTCTGGGACTAAGCCTGCAGTGTTTCTGATATGTGCATGTACCTGTTTATACGCTACAGTATTTCATTCACTCAGGGAAGTACCATAAGGCTTTTAACTATTCCTCCATGCACGTACAATTTGAGCATTGAGAAGTTGTATCAGCATGTTTTGAGCATATACAGTATTGCAGGGACCTGGTATTTACTGTAATAAGTAACTCACTAACTCCCCTGGCATTACTATGCTTGGCATCTCCACAGTCCTGAGTGCTCGCCTTTGCTCTGCAGGTGTCAGCTACCTGCCGGGTGAGCATCTCCTTTTGGATGGTCCCCAGCTGTGCTTTCTGTCACTGCTAGTCCCATGGAACTATTCAAATTAAAATTTAGTCAACTAGTTACATTTCAAGGGCTCAGGAGCCAAACGTGCCTCGTGCCT